GTACACAGCGATGAAAAGTCCAGCATCTTCAGATTGGCCTTAGTCTTGACTTGTGCAGTTGAATGATATTTGTCCTGGGAGTACTGTACAAATGTGGCGGCGCTATTGATGCATGCTCAGGGTCCATATGCGATATCTAGTGTATATATCTATTGTAGATTATTTTGCGTTCTTCAGAAACCTATGGGTGACTTCACTGATACTACTTCCATATCTTTTACAGTCTATGGATTTGCACAACCCTCTGATTATAACAAAATACACACACACACACACACACACACAGTTAAGCTCAGGAATTCACAGATGTGGTTCAGTAAATGTTCAGTCTAGATTTTCTGTTAAATAGTTTGTATTAAATTATTTGTTGGCCTAATAAATGACTAAAACGTGGTTGTTACTTGCTTTTACTAGTCTCTTTTCATACGGCCAGTTTAGCAAATGTAACAATTGAACAAGTTTTCATTCGGCTCAGTCCCTTTATTAATCCGGGGTCGTCACAGCAAAATGAACCGCCAATTAATCCAGCATATGTTTCAGCTGCAACCCATCACTAGGAAACAACCATACACACTCATTCACACACACACTGACAATTTAGTTTTCCCAATTCAGCTGTACCCCATGTCTTTAAAATGTGGGGAAAACCGGAGCATCTGGAGGAAACCCATGCCAACAAAGGGAGAACATGTAAATTCCACACAGACATGCCAACTGACCCACCCGAGGCTTGAACCAGCAACCTTTTTGCTGTGAGGTGAACGTGCTTCCCACTGTACCACCGTGCTGCCAAGTTTACATTTGATTATAAAAAAAAATTAAAAGAAATCCCACAATTGTTCTGCAACATTTGGCTTTGTCTAATCAAATTTTACATGTATTATCTTTTATGTTACAGCAATGTGGGTAACTATCTTAACACACTCCACTCAGACAGACTCTTCCATACCCCTCACTGCACACCATCAATATGTAGCATGCATTGCACTTTAACCAATCCATACTTGAAACAATACTGCCTACAACTATGTGGACACCTATTCATTGCACATATCGGTGTCAATCTTACATTGTCCTGTGTTTTTTAATTTTTTTGAGTATGCGGTTGTATTTTGCTCTGTCGTTGCATTTGCACTGTCTGTATTTTGCACTGTCTGGAGCCAGCACCTAAGCTTTTCGCACACATGCTGCTGATGATGTGACAATAAAAGTGGTTTGATTTGATATCTTATAGATGTGGGTTTAATATATTAAAACCTGTATAAAAAATGTCTCTGAGAAACTATGCAAAAAATGTCTCTTTTGCACCCCTCCTCACCCTCCCCTAAACCACATCACACCAGACATTGTGGGCCTGCAGAGGGCTTCAGAAGCTTTCTGCTGTCAGTTGACAACATTTCGCTTAAAACTCTCTTCTGCTTCCGCGATGTGAGAGCATCCTGTTACTCGATACATCCGTACAAATGAGTTCACTGACAAAACTAAACCTTTTTTAAAAAGTGTTTTTCTAAGCTGATTTTCTTGGAAGCATCATAACAATTGAGCAGCCTTCAGTGTTCAAACAGCGCTTAGAGTCTCCGGACAGTGAGTACAGAAGATCTTATGACATTGTTTCAGTTTACTTCAGAATCGATAGCGCTTTGGTGTAATAAATAAAATGTATTGTATTACAAATGAACACAAATTATTGAGTCATGAGCTTGCAATCGGCTAAAATAGTGCAGAACAAAAAGGATTTTTACATAAGATTATGGGGTGCTGATGACAATAGTACAGTCAAACAGACACAGAAATCAGCAAACTTTTAGGACTGTCAATTCTTTATGTAGCCTGTTTAATGTTGTTAACCCGTGTGTGCTGATGGGGATATTTCATCTACTCTGGGGTGATTTTGAGTCTTTAATTTGGCCACAAATTTCTTTGTGTTTCAGCAAATTGTATGATTTTTGGTGACATCTTATTTTGCCAAAATGCTTAGCAAATTTTCAAAAATTCAACAATACACTATGGGCAAATTTACTACCCTTTCATTATGTTTGTGGCCCTTTTTGCCCCTTTGACTTCCATTATAATGACATTTTTTTTAAATTGCAAAGCCATGAAACCACATAATCATGCATTTTGATTGTTGCTTGCTGTCTTTGTTGATCATCAGTTGCAGTGCAAAAAATGGAGTACAGTGTGTGTCTGTGTGAGGGACCTTTGTGCACTGATCTATGATATGTCTGAGAAAATCAAAATAAGTAGCTCAGCTCTCAGAACACAGTAAACATAAGTGTATTTATGCACGCACATAGAAACTTTTTTCTAACTTTTTTTTTTTATCTAAAGTCCTATCTAAAGTATTAATGGTGCCAACTGGTGATCAACAATAAAAATTACACACTTTTCCATTTCCCAACTGGAAAAAAACAGCAACAATCAAGAATGCATGATTATATGGTGTCATGGATTTGCAATAAAAATATCAAATAGGCAAAAACAGCCACAAAAATAACAAAAACGTAACAAATTCCTTGTATACTAAAGATAGCTGGCAATAAAGCTTTTTCTGATTCTGATTGATGTTGGTCTTCTAGTGGACAGTGCGATCGGGAAAAAGAGAAAACATGCAGATCTTCTGAAGGCAAAAGATGGTTTGTGCTCTTTGTTTTTATTTTTAAATTGTAGACAATATTTTAATTTTACAGAGTGTGCTATAATTGTAATTTACTATGTTTTACTTCTGTAATGAGTCGGGTGGCAACAGAGTTGAGGATTCAAATGCAGTTTATATAGACAGACAAGGTCAAAGCAGGGACAGACAGGAGCACGCAGATAGTTCAGAGGAGTATTCAGTGTAGCAGGCGAATGGTCAAGACAGGTGACAAAACAACATAATGAGTAAACAAATAGGGAATCAAAAATATGGTATATATTTAGAAATGCTTTCTTACAGATCACAAGACTCAGCAAAGGAAGTGTGTATGGAAGTGTGCTGTCTTTATAGTCCAGGTACTCAGCTGAGTGCATGCAGGGCCGGAGCAAGCTGAACTGCCGCTCTAGGCAGAGGACTATCACGCCGCCCTCAATCCCAATAGGAAAACGAAAGTGACCGGTTATGAAAATGAAGTGGTGTCGCCGACCTCTATTCTGCCGCCCTATGCGCGGATATTACTGAGGACGCGCGGGTGCTGATAGAAGTGTTGGTGACGCCGTCCTCTCTATTCTGCCGCCCTATGCGCGAATATAACTGAGAACATGCGGGTGCTGATGGAGGTGTCGCTGACGCCGCCCTCTCTATTCTGCCGCCCTATGCGCGTATATTACTGAGGACGCGCGGGTGCTGATAGAAGTGTTGGTGACGCCGTCCTCTCTATTCTGCCGCCCTATGCGCGAATATAACTGAGAACATGCAGGTGCTGATAGAGGTGTCGCTGACGCCGCCCTCTCTATTCTGCCGCCCTATGCGCGAATATAACTGAGAACATGCGGGTGCTGATGGAGGTGTCGCTGACGCCGCCCTCTCTATTCTGCCGCCCTATGCGCGAATATAACTGAGAACATGCGGGTGCTGATGGAGGTGTCGCTGACGCCGCCCTCTCTATTCTGCCGCCCTATGCGCAGATATAACTGAGGACGTGCGGGTGCTGATAGAGGTGTCGCTGACGCCGCCCTCTCTATTCTGCCGCCCTATGCGCAGATATAACTGAGGACGTGCGGGTGCTGATGGAGGTGTCGCTGACGCCGCCCTCTCTATTCTGCCGCCCTATGCGCAGATATAACTGAGGACGTGCGGGTGCTGATAGAGGTGTCGCTGACGCCGCCCTCTCTATTCTGCCGCCCTATGCGCAGATATAACTGAGGACGTGCGGGTGCTGATGGAGGTGTCGCTGACGCCGCCCTCTCTATTCTGCCGCCCTATGCGCAGATATAACTGAGGACGTGCGGGTGCTGATAGAGGTGTCGCTGACGCCGCCCTCTCTATTCTGCCGCCCTATGCGCGAATATAACTGAGGACGCAGGTAGTGAGGGAGGTGTCGCAGACATAACTGAGGACGCGGGTGGAAAGGGAGGTGTCGCGAAAGCCGCCCTCTTTATACTGCCACCCTAGGCGGCCGCCCTGAGTGAGTGTAATCAGGGAGTGAAATGGGACTGATGTGTGAGCGAGGTGTGTGATGGGATTATAGTTCAGTTGAATGTAAGTGTTCTCCAGCAGCCTGCAAGGGCCACACTGCTGGTGATCGTAACAGAGCCCCCTCTCTAGGTTCAGACAACCCCAGACATAGGCGGATTAGGAGGTTCAGGGTCAGGAGGCATTAGCGGATCAGGCAGCTGCATTAATAGCTCTGGCAGCGGTGGTAGCCACTCTTGGTGCTCAGGTGCCACTGGATAGTCTGGTGTTGGCTCTGGCCATTCGTGGAACTCAGGTGCCTCTGAATCCCGCCATTTGGGGAATTCAAAAGAATCTGGCGCCCGCCATTCAGGGGATTCAGGAAGATCTGGCACTTGCCATTCAGGGGATTCAGGAGGACCCGGTGCCCACTTCAGGGACTCAGGAAAGGAATCTGGTGCCTGCCATTCTGGGAATTCAAGAGGATCTGGCACAGACTATGGGGACTCAGGAAAGGAATCTGACGACTGCCATTTGAGGAGGATCTGGTGCCCACTCCAGGGACTGGCAGATGAGGGACGGAATCTGGCACCTCTGACAACGACGGAGGATCTGGCAGCTCTGGAGGTGGTGGTGGCAGCTCTGGCAGTAATATTCAATTCATTCAATGATGTAATGCTTAGAAGTCCGGGGATGGCGGCCTCTGCTGGCCAGCGAGGGGAATGACTGGGACCGAGTCGGTGACACGTAAACAATTTAAAATCTTTATAAACAATTATGCAGCTATAGGGTCAAGAAAATAAGAAAACGTGAAGAAATTCTGGATTCAAAAGATAATTTGTACTGTGTTTTTGTTCATAAAATGAAAACAATATATATTACATTACAACAAATAGTGTTCTTTTTTCATATTTTCATGTTTTCCTCTTTTATTTTTGTTCTGTGTTGTTGCAAACATTCCAACGATTATTTTTGTATTAAATTAAGTAAAAAAAAAAATTTAAACATTTTAGACCCTTAACTAAAAAAAGATCATCTTGCTTTTGCATTTGCTCTTTAAAATAGTTTTCATATCTTTCAGTGGACAGTTTTGAGATCAAGAAATGTAAAAAACATGACGATCTTCTGCAGTCAAAAGATGGTTTGTACTCTTGTTTTTATTTCTAAAATGTAAACAATAATAGTTATGTTACATAATTGCATAGTGTTCTATTTAATATTTTAACGCTTTCCTCTTTTTTGTTCTGTTTTGTTCCAATTATTTTTGTATTTAATGCAGTTTAAAAAAAGAAAAACTAAACATTTTGAACCCCTAAAAAAAAGATAATCTTTCTTCTGTATTTGCTCTTTAAAATTGTTTTCATATCTTTCAGTTGGTCTACAAGTGGACAGCTTTGAGATCAAGAAATGGGAAAAACATGACAATCTTCTGCAGTTAAAAGATGGTTTGTATTCTGTTTTTTTTTTTATAAAATGTAAACAATAATGGTTATATTACATTACATGTATTCAGTTGAAGTCAGAATTATTAGCCCCCCTATTTATTTTTTTCCCCAATTTCTGTTTAACGAAGGGAATTTTTTTTAGCACATTTGTAAACAAAATAGTTTTAATAACTCATTTCTAATAACTGATTTATTTTATCTTTGCCATGATGACAGTAAATAATATTTGACTAGATATTTTTCAAGACACTTCTATACAGCTTAAAGTAACCATTAAAGCCTTAACTAGGTTAATTAGGTAAACTAGGCAGGTTAGGGTAATTAGGCAAGTTGTTTCATAACGATGGTTTGTTCTGTAGACTATCGAAAAAAATAGCTTTAAGGGGCTAATAATTTTGTCATTAAAATGGTGTCTAAAAAAAACAAAACTTTTTATTCTAGCTGAAATAAAACAAATAATACTTTATCTAGAAGAAAATAATATTATCAGACATACTGTGAAAATGTCCTTGCTCTGTTAAACATCATTTAAAAAATATTTTAAAAAGAAAAATTCGAAGGGGAGCTAATAATTCTGACTTCAACTGTTTATGTAATGTGGACATACCAACATTTTTTTTTTTTTAAATTCAGTTTTAAAGAAAATAAATCTAAACATTTTGCACCCTTAATAATAATAATAATAATAATAATAGTAATAATAATGATGAAAAGATAACCTTCCTTTTGTATTTGATTTTTAAAAAATGCTTATGTTGCTCTTTCAGTGGACAGTTCTAAGTTCAAGAAATGGGAAAGATATGAATATCTTCTGCACCCAACAATTGGTTTGTACTCTTTGTACTCTTTTTCGTGTGTTCTATTTAATATTTACACATTTTTTTCTTTTTGTTCACTATTATTATGCAAAGAATTTTTTTAGTACTTAATGACACTTTATAGAAAATAAATCAAAATATTTCTGAACACTAAACACTAAAAAACAATCAAATATATATTTTCTATTGTAGCAACAGGATGTTCACATCAGCGCAATGAGAAATAATGTGTTGAGCTAATTGGGAAAAAAAAGAACTTAAATTTGACCAATCATGTTATTGGCCCAATATGATTATTTTGATTTGTTGCAGTATACTTTTTTAGTTTTACTTAATTTAAAAATGTATGTTCTCCATAGTCCCAAATGAAAATAGATAATAAAATATACAAAGTATTGATACACTAAACACGGCCACATTTATTCATTTATTGTTATTTACCAGGCACTATTGTAAAAATACTTTAAAATAACAAATACACTGAACATTTCTACAAAGTATTCCTTATAAAGTCATACGTTTAATTATGAAAATATACACAAAGCTGCAGCGTAATTACATTCACATAACTATTACACCTAGTATTACTGGTAGTCACCAAAATGTTACCATTCTACAAAAGGTAATCTGAACTCCTTAAATCACAATTTTAATGGTTAAAAGCGTTCGTTAACATTAAACATCAAATGTATTTACATATTAAAACACTATCAAATCTAAACAATGAACTACTTAACCCAGTTGATGCAGATGTTTCCAGAACAGTACAAACTCGCAAAAACACAACAAGTGTGATTATGACTGCACAAAAAATAAATAAAGAAATAAAAATCTATTTGCAACATCAAGTAGGATAATGACCTTTAAAAATCTGTGGAAGTTAATGAGACTTGAAGTCTCGATTAATTTAGTTCTAATAGTTTACACAGTCTTATGGAAAAGAATAAGGTCAATAGGACAAAATTTTCACTTCTACATAATTTTTTTACCCTGTATTGCTGTACCGCAAGCAGGATGTATCCAGGATATCCTATACAGGAATGTCATGAAAAATCACACTCAAATATATTCAAGGCGAGTATTGTTGTGGAAACATAATGCAGGTTTATTTAAAACCACTCTACGTTAACCGGCGGCATGGTTGCACAGTAGGTAGTGCTGTTGCCTCACAGCAAGAAGGTTGCTGGTTCGAGCCTCAGCTGGGTCAGTGTGAGTTTCTGTGTGGAGTTTGCATGTTCTCCCTGCGTTCGCGTGGGTTTTCTCGGATGCTCCGGTTTCCCCCACAGTACAAAGACATGCAGTACAGGTGAATTGGGCAGGCTAAATTGTCCGTTGTGTATGAGTGTAAATGAATGTGTGTGGATGTTTCCCAGAGATGGATTGCGGCTGGAAGAGCATCTGCTGCGTAAAACATATGCTGGATAAGTTGGCGGTTCATTCCGCTGTGGCGAACCCTGATTAACAAAAGGACTAAGAAGAAAAGAAAATGAATGAATGAATGAATGAATGTATGTTAACCCTCAATTGCTCCATCAAAGTAAGGATGTTGTGCTTTTTAAATAATGATGTACTCTAACGTGAACTCTCCTTCTATTCCAGGATGTCAAACGATGACATATAGCCTTGAGCCCATGGTGGGTAATAAAGATGTAAGTAAAATGAAAGAATGAGGAATATAACATTATACTTTGTGTTATGACACTTTGGGTTTCTTTCTTACTGGCCTCATATTTGAAAAAAAAATTGTGTATCTTAATAGGTTATGAATCAAAACATTAACATGTTTGTATGAATTAAATTCAAATGTTACTTTTTTTTCTTTTTCTCTCTATTTTTTTCCTACTTGAGTCTGGGGTCACTGTAATGCACCTGGAAGGTAGGCACATGTTTTCACATTAAAAATGACACATTTGCTCAGCAAAAAACAAACAAATAAACAAACAAGCAACTCACCAATAAATTTGTTTAAAAATTTCTACTTAACAAAGACAAAATCCACTACAACCTTGCTCACACTCCATAAATGTCTGATCTTTAGCACTGATGGCTTCAAATGTGATTACGTAAGTGATGAAATCAGACGAATTTCTAATTAATTTTAGATACGGTTTACTGTTTACAAATAGATTTTTGTGTAGAATTTATGTGATTTACAAATTTCACAGCAACAGTTTGAAAATCCCAAAATGATAAATTTTGTTGTTTAAATTTGAACAAACAAGATCCCATTACTCAGTATGTTCTACTCTTTTGCAAGTTATTAAAAAGTATCTATAATTCAATATTATCTTATTGTCTGTTGATTATTGTAAGCTCGTGTATTTTGTCAGTGAACAGCTTACTGTTGTGTTTTTTGCAGGACCTCTAAATACTGTAAATGAGTATATGCAGTCAATCAAGGATAAGTATGAGCATGATTGGAGCTTCCAGTCTGGTGACCATGCATTATTGTCAGACCTCTATACTGACCCACTGATCGTTGAGAAAATCCAAAATATCAGCTTTGAGAACATAAGCGTGGATAAGTTGTTTCAGTCAAATGTTCTGATGACTGTCGTTCTCCACGGTGACTCTGGCAGTGGCAAATCCTTCATAGCACAGAAGATGCTGTTGGACTGGGCTTCTAAAGCAGCATCTTCTATAGATTTTAGTGTGGTCTTCTACCTGAGGTGTGAAGAGCTGATGTTCATTGAACAAATGAACTTAAGTAAACTCTTGAGCAGCAATTGTAGTTTAACACCAGTTCAGATCTCGAAGATGCTACAGCATTTCCCAGAGAAGCTGCTTTTCATCGTTGATGGATTTGATCATCTGAGACTCACACAGGATATTTATGACATGTCAGAACTTATTGATCCACTTCAGAAAACCCTGCCGGAGGTCATTGTTTGTGCCCTGCTGAGGAGATTCCTGGTTCCGGAGTCCACACTGCTGGTCACCACCAGAACTAAAAACACTGTGAACAAGCTGCTAAATGGACAACAGTGTGTCACGGAGATTCTGGGCTTTTCTGAGAAGATGGTGAAGATGTATTTCCAGACATTTTTCAGTAAGGAGTATGAAAGTCTGAAAGCAAATGAAACTGTCTTCACTGCCTGCTCCAGTCCTGTTATCCGCTGGATCATCAGTGAGATGTTGAGGGTTGGTGCAAATATAAAATTTGGACTGGAAACCACCACCTCCATATACATTGACTTTGTGTGCACTTTACTGGAGCATCACAGCCAGGGTTTGAGTCGGTCTGTGCCGACCCTGCTGAGGAGTCTGGGTCAGCTGGCAGAGAGAGGGATGCTGGAAACACGAGTGCTTTTTGATGAGAAAAGTGTGAATGAAATGGTTTCAGGCACTGAAAAATTATTCCTCAGGAAGAGAACAGTCTGCCAGGAGACGATGTTCGGTTTCATGCATCGCAGCTTTCAGGAGTTCTTCACCGCTCTTTATTTTGTGCTTCTTGATGAAGAAGAGTCTCAGAGGAAAGTGAAAGAGCTTCTTTACACTGTGGAGAGAGGATGGACATTGTCCTGCTGGCCTGATCCAGACTTCTCAATGGCAGATGTTGAAGTTAGACAGTCAGAGTTTCTGCAGCCTGTGATTCTGTTCCTTTGTGGTCTCTGTTGGAAAGACCTGATCCCATCATTTTTTGAGAAGCACAACATGGCCGTCTCTGTCAACATAGAAACCCATCTTAAAGAGTGGATCAATAAGTGCTCACAGAGATATCAAAATGAGCACCTGCTGTTCATTCTCCATTGTCTCTTTGAGCTCCATCAGAAGAGCTTCACTGCGAAAGTTCTGCAAAGGATGATTTTGATGGATCTGTCCAATATGTCACTGAAAACAACAGACTGTTGGGTGTTGAAGCACTGTTTAGAGAGCAGTGAACACATCAGTAACCTGAAGCTCCAGGTAACATCTGATAATCTGAAGATGCTCCATCCTGCTCTGTACAAATGTAAAGAGCTGTGGTGAGTATAACATTTTAGGGAGGGATGGGCAGTATTTATGATACATGCATTTCAAATACCTATTTTAAATACAAAATAGTATTTTGTAATTTGTATTTGATAGAGTTTATGAAAATGGGTCAATATTTTGTATCAAAATACTTGTCATGCACTTAGTATTTGCAAAATACTTGGTCAAAGTCGACATGATGACATCACAAAAATGTGGCCTTTAATACTGGTGTTTTGTCAGTTGATTGCCAAGATGTGAAATCAGACTTGAAAATGTATTAATATTGTAGACGTTGATCAGTGCTTGGAGTATGGATGGAAATTATGCATTATGTACATATAAAGAAAGTAACAGACAAATAGCAGGGTTAGATTGGGGAGCAAGTCAAAATAAGACAGGAAAAAAAGACAAACATTTATTCATTCATTCATTTCGGCATAGTCCCTTTATTAATCAGGGGTCACCACAGCGGAGTAAACCGCCAACTTATCCAGGATATGTTTTACGCAGCGGATGCTCTTCAAGCCACAACCCATCACTGGGAAACACCCATACACACTCATTCACACACATACACTGAGGACAATTTTAGCTTACCCAATTCACCTGTACCGCATGTCTTTAGACTTGTGGGGGAAACTAGAGCACCCGAAAGAATTCTGCGCAAACACGGAGAGAACATGCAAACTCTACACAGAAATGGCAACTGACCCAGCTGAGGCTTGAACCAGTGATCTTCTTGCTGTGAGGTGACAGCGTCACCACGTCGCCATAAGACAGACAACACAACATAAAAAAGTCCTACAGTGGTGATACAGTACCTACAAAACTGTGCAGGTGCTCGTTTTATGTAGTTAACTACAAACTTTGACACAATTAATCCGCATGAGACAAAAGTATTAAATAATACTCAACTCTACAAACTGGTCAAAAACTTCCATCTTAGGTTTTATTGCAGCAAAAACAAATATTGTGTATTGTATTGTACACTGAAAAGTACAATTGCAAAAAAACATTGTTTATGGCAGGCGTGTCCAAACTACGGCCCGCGGGCCATCTGCGGCCCGCAATCAGTTTTGTGGCGGCTCGCGAGGCTTTTTATAAATATCAATAGAATCTGGCCCGCTATACAAAAATGAACGTAATTCAATAAATAACCACCGGGTGTCGCTATTAAATGCATTCAACTAAGCAGCAGTTCTTGTTATGATCTATCTATCTATCTATCTATCTATCTATCTATCTATCTATCTATCTATCTATCTATCTATCTATCTATCTATCTATCTATCTGTCTATCTGTCTGTCTGTCTGTCTGTCTGTCTGTCTGTCTGTCTGTCTGTCTGTCTGTCTGTCTGTCTGTCTGTCTGTCTGTCTACACACAGTTGAAGTCTGAATTATTAGCCCTTCTTTGATTTATTTCTTCTTTTTTAAATATTTCAAAATGATGTTTAACAGAGCAAGGACATTTTTACAGTATGTCTGATTATATTTTTTTTCTTTTGGAGAAAGACTTTTGTTTTATTTCGGCTAGAATAAAAAGCGGTTTAAATTTTTTTATGAACCATTTTTAAGTTCAAAATTATCAGCCCCTTAAGTCTTCAGAACAAACCATTGTTATAAAATAACTTGCCTAATTACCTTAACTTGACTAGTTAACTTGATTAACCTAGTTAAGCCTTTAAATGTCACTTTAAGCTGTATAGAAGTGTCTTAAAAATATCTAGTCAAAATTATTTACTGTCATCATGGCAAAGATAAAATAAATCAGTTATTAGAAATGAGTTACTAAAACTAATATGTATAGAAATGTGTGGAAAAAATCTTCTCTCCGTTAAACAGAAATTGGGGAAAAAATAAACGGGGGCTAATAATTTAGGGGGGCTAACAATTCTGACTTCAACTGTTTATATATATATATATATATATATATATATGTATATATATATATATATTAGGGATGTAACGGTATTGTAAATACCGTCATACCGCAATATTAATTTTTTTTCGATATTACCGAAGTCGCATGACTCAGTAAAACTATAGGTCTTCTGAGAAAATTTGCTCAGGTGAATGAAGCGAACGGGAGGTAGCGAAAACTATAATTTCCATCATCCCTTGCGGTCTGTTGTCGCTACAGATCCAGTAATGCGGAAATGGAGTGTGCTGCTAGAAGCGGGGATCAAAAAGAGCTGTAAAACTCTAAGGCCCCGTTTACCCTAGTGCGTTTTAGTTTTAAAACGGCGTTGTAGAATGAAAACGTTCCGCATCCACACTCGCGTTTTACCCAGCGTTTCTGAACAGCTCTCCGTCCACACCAAAACGCTGAAAACGCACATCACGTGACCACACACACACTCTCGGGCAAGCGCTCCAGCATTTCTACCCAGATGAGAGCTCTGCTTGTCGGACTGCTCATCAAGCATTTCCCGCTGGATCTAATCTCACTATATTTGCTAAACGTGATATTTCATTCATGTTGTTGTCTTTATCTAACGACATAGGCCAATTCCCTGACTTTGGTCATTGGAATCTATTAAGTTACTTGTTCACGGGTAACATGTTTTGGTTAAGCGCAAAGATAAGTTAATGATTAATCCAGGTACATTGACTGATCGCTTGCCTTTATTTCCTACAATGTATAAACTTATTGTATGTTATACTTTTATAATTGTCGATTATTAAAACTGATATTCAGCAAAAGAGAGGGTGCGTTTGGTATTTTCACTGAAATTGAAAGGAGGCAGTTGTTATAGGCTCTGTTTTGTTATAAATATCCACACAGTGAAGTTGACGCTCATATATGCAGCACGGCGCCTCAACATTTCTGCTGTCTGTTTAGTTGTTAATATTAAAATAAAAATAGGCAGTTCCTTAAATCATGTTTACATTTTATTGTTGAGAAAGTGAAACAACGTAGCCAGGGTGATGTGAATGAAGTTATAAAGTACACTGTTCCCTTTGAAGATTTACCCGTGTCCTCGGTATGTTTTCCATATCAAACTGAAAAGGGGGAGACTGCAGCCTTGATCAAACTTGCGAAGTCTGAACTTACAAGAAGAGGATGCGAGACTGAACTGTGTGTGGGCTACTTAATATTGAGGAAACGCTCCGTTTTCGGCGCTCGAGAAATAAGTCATATAAGTCATATCTCTCTTGTCCCAGAAACCTCAGTCCCAAATGAGAGGGTTTTTTCTGTTGCTGGGGACATTGTAAATGCCCAGAGATACCAGCTTTTACCTTCAACCACATGTTGAATGTGATGAGTTTTCAACAATACTAAATTAAAAACTTTATTTTTTTTTTACATGGTTTAATATTTTTTTGTTATTAAAATTGAAGTTCCTGTTTCAAAGCTTACAGATAGATGACTAATTTGTATGTCATTGACACTTTTGGCACTTTTTTGGAATATTTTCATAAGTTTTGTTTTTTCCTGTAAATGATTCAATAAATACCGTACCGTGACATTCATACCGAGGTATTACCGTACCGTGAAATTCTGATACCGTTACATCCCTAATATATATATATATATATATATATATATATATATATATATATATATATATATATATATACATATACACGTGTCTGTGTGATGTATGTAAAATTTGGCCCGCGACAACGTTTGTTTTTTTGCATCTGGCCCTCGGCCCAAAAAGTTTGGACACTCCTGGTTTATGGAAAAGACTAAAACTGGAGATTTTAGCAGTTTTCAGAAATCGTGATTTAACATTAAGCATTAAAGATTCGAATTGCAAAAAAAAAAAAGAAAAAGATTTGTTTAATTATTAACCAATTATGTAAACAAAAAAATTAAATAACCTTTTCATATATCACCCTTTAAAATATTAGACTGTTAAGAGATGGTGTCAATTTTCACAATAGATTGAGATATAGTGCTTTATTTTAACTCATTTTCTGCATTAAATGGATTTTACAGTGATAAAAGAGATCATCTCTTAAGATAGTGCTTTCTGTGTGAAATTTGTACAAAATCTGTAATAAAATTAAAGAGAAACACAAGTTACATTTTTATGAATAAGGTGCAGAAACAGGACTGATTTTTAGACATTTTGTAGCTAAAAATTAAGGTATTTGGTATTTTATTTTAAAATACATTTCAATGTATTTTTGACCAGCCCTGATTAAATTATTATAACAATTATAACTATTTATTTGCATTCTTGTATGGATAACAGTTACAGTGCAGTGCCATTCACTCTTTGCTATGTGATATAAAATTTAATCTACTTTTATATCTTGGCAGTGCTGTAGTACTGAATATGAGCACAGCTGTGATTGAGCATCGAAGATAATTCAGTACTGCAACAATCTAATGTGATATTGTTGATATATGATGTAATCAAAAATGAATAATGAGTTTGTGCCATTTAGATTTTACTCTGCAACCAAAAGTTATAAAGGACCCCAAACCATCCTGTTTTTTATGTCACCAGTCTTAAGCATTTTAGAAGGAATAAGATAAAGCTGTTCCCTTTGCATGCCTACTTCTGGTTTTAAATAATTAACAATCACTGAGAACCTCTTTTCCAAACATTTTCTACAAAAATTAGCAAATGAAATAAAACAGAAGACTGGAAACAAAACAACCACAGCATTAGTTTTCTGTAAAATTACTATCAAATCTGACATATTTTGTTTTCTTTTACTTTCAAAGGTTATTGATTGATCACATTTCAGACTGTGTTGTGGATTTGATCTCAGCTCCTGGTAAACAGAAGATTCTGAAAAAACTCAAGTAATGTATAATTAATTTTAGAACAACTTCAACTCACTCACATTCATTCAGTATTCAGTGTTTAGTTTTTGATATACTGATATATAATAATACATAATAATATTAACATTTGCTTGTTCAAATAAATAACATATTTTTATCTTCAGTATAAAGAAGCTTGAAAATGGCGGAAGTTTTTTTCACCTAGAGATCACTGTATCAGTCAGAGAAAGAGACATCACGTAAGAAGCTCCATCACTCTGTCACATTCAAAATTGCAGTCTCAGTCTAAAAACTTTATGCTTATTATAAACCATTTCAAATGTTTATTTCTGTGTTGCTTTAGGCTGTCTTTTAGCAGGTCAATGTTCACATCATCAATCACAGAATTAACTCTGACATCTCCTCACTCAGTTGTTTCCATCATCAAATGGATGGAATCACAGAACAAGCAAAGTAGTAGCTATATGTGAGTTGAATCTTTATTCTCTCTCTCTAAAAAAAAAGATAAACGAGTTTTGCAGTGAAATTATGTTAATCATTTTAGATAAATTAGGACAGAATGTATGTTAATGTCATTAAATATCTGTGTAAGATCTGTAGGTCTTTGTTATTTTGTTATAGAGTTAAGTTTTTTTGTGCATGTGTGTGTTGCTTAGTAATCCTGAAGAAGAGAAAGATCTGATGTTCCTCAAGTCATTGTCTGGTTTGAAGAAAGTCTGTCTGCATGTTTCAAATCTGAATGACACATTTGCTTGTGAACTCCTGTCCCTCATTCAGGCTTGTTCCAGCCTGACTCAACTTTGGTAATGGCATTAGCTGACATTATAGTAGGTTTTTATGATATTTTCTTACTATCCCAAATCATAAGATGTTGGCACATTATGGGAAATGCAAATAGTAGTGAATTAGTGTAATTTCCAAATTTACTTTGACTTGTATTTCATTGCAGACAATATTATAGTGTCCAAAAGTGCCGTCGACTTCTCTGGAATCAGGTATCTGGGATGGACCATCCCACAGTGGAAACGAGTACTGTGGTCAGAAAAATCAGCATTTTCAGGTATTTTTGAGATGTTACCAGCAACAAGTCCAAAATCCAGGGTCTGTCATGGTTTGGCGTTGTGTCAGTGCCCTTGGCAAAAGTAACTTGCACTTTTGTAATAACACCTTTAATGATGAAAAATACATAGAGACTATGGAGCACCTTCATGCTGCCTTCATTTACGCCCATGTATATTTCAACAAGACAATGCAAAACTACATTCTGCACACATTACAAAGTCCTGGCTGCAGATGAAGAGGTTACGGCACCTGACTGGCCTGCCTGCAGTCCAGACCTGTCTCGAAAAGAGAATATATGGCCCATTTTGAAGCCCAAAATGTGACCACGAAGACCTCATACTCATTAAGACTTGTTTGCAGGAAGAATGGAATAAAATTACACCTGAAACACTTCATCACTTGCTGTCTTCAGTCCCTAAACATGTTTTAAGTGTTGTGAAAAGAAATGGCAACATTACAAAGTGGTAAATGCTTTACTGTTCATACTTTTTTTAAATGTGTATTGTTGGAATGTATATACAAGTGGTGCATTGAAATACAAGTCAAAGTAAATTTAGAAATCACTTAATTTTTTTTAATTTGCATTTTAGATACTGTTCCAACTTTTTCTGATTTGGGGTCGTATTACTAGTGGACATTATTGTATAATCTCTTTTTTTTTCTCCATTTGATGGTTTATACTAATGATATTAACAACCCTATAGGCTTTCCCCAGATATTAAAAAGGGTTTTAGCATAAGTGACAGGAAGGACTTCAGGAAGCACATCCAGTCTCTCAAGAAGTCGTTGAATGAGATGCGTTGGACTCTGACTTTGTAAGCATTAGTTATTAGTTATTTCTTCAGGTTGTTCTTTTAATTCACCAAAGATATAATTTCTTTTGATATACAAAAAACAATACTTTTGTAGTCACCATGAGTGTTACATGTTATTCTTTTTAGTTGGGGCAACTCAGTGTTGATCAAGCCAAATGAGGAGAGATTCACAGAGAAGCTGCAGACAAAGACAGACATGGGTGAGAGACATAAGCCAATACTTTAGTTTTTTAAAGTTAGACCTTTTTCTACTTTATATCAAATTATCTCGTTGAAAAAAATGACAAGGGGCATTTGATGGAGAAAAAAAAGTCATGGTGGTAAGGTGTCCATTGTGTCCATATTTGGAAGAAAGCATTGACAGATTTTCTCTTTATCGTGTGTTTGAATGTGTAAGAATCTGTTACCCATCAGGAGGGGAACTTCAATGCTATGTGGAAAACTTTCACTATGGGGATTTCATCAGAATCCAATCATCTGAAAGAGTATAAAAACGGGCCCATGAAATGCCAATGAGTTGGTGGCGTCAGCGTGCACAGCTGTCATCAATGACAATCGATTTGGCAGAAAAGCACTGCATGTGCTCAGCTGAAGCATGATTTTCGCTTTCAGTCTTCCACAAGCTACTAAGAGAGTCATTGACAATATCTCTAATCTGTCTACATAGGGAGAGATTGAGAAGCAGCTTCTCCCCGTCCAGAGTGTGCATACGCAGTGACAGACAGTCAAGCTGGGTTTTTCTTCCTTGCCTGGTGTCCTTTGGGTCCGGTCCCTGTATATAGGAAGCAAGTTTCTTTAACCAGCAACACGGCCGTGCAGCACGTCTTTTTCAAGATGTCGTTCTGACCGTGCAGTTGCGCAGCTAAGATCACAGCTTGCTCTTGCGAAAGGGTGACCCACCCCTGATGTTCTCTGCACTGCGGCTGGCACTCGGGGAGATAGGGGGTTACAGTGGGAGCAAATCCGCCGCCTTCAGGCTTGCGGACCTCTCATCCCTTTGCGCGCTCCATTCAAGCTTAGAGCGAGAGATCGTTTGATGTTTGATGACACCGAGGACCAGATGTCCATTATCTTCAATTAACATAAAGAGCGTTTTTCAACACCACTTAAATTCCAAAGAAAAATAATTTTGCTCCTTCATTGGATGTGACAGCCAGCCCAAAAACTTCCAGCCTGGGACGCTATGCCTTCCAGCTCGCAAGATCGGTGCACTTCACCAGTGGCTCATGGAGCGCGAGAGAACGGTCTCCCTTCTTTCCCACTCCCAGCCCCTTCCCCTTGATTACGGGTGCAAGACGAGTGAATCTCTTGCCTCCTGCTCTCCTGTGGGACCCCAGTGCTCCCTGGTTGAGCCCACCCACTCCGTGCTGCCCCACCACTGGTACATCAGCAATCGTGTGGATGAAGCCACTTGCAAGAGCTCTGCCTGCCTGCCTGCCCATCGCAATAACTCATCCGCATGATCACACTCAGCTACTTGATTCAATTCGCGAAACGGCCTCCCAAGTTCACGGGTGTGTTTTACAGCCTGTACTTCATTGTACCCCAAAATAGTGGTGGGTTACAGCCAATCCTAGATCTGCACGTTTTGTACCGCTGCCTTCACAAGCTGCGGTTTAGAATGCTTATGCAGAAGCGCATCATCTGATGCATTCGTCCTTGGGATTGGATTGCAGCGATAGACCTGAAGGACGCTTACTTCCATGTCTCCATACTTCCACGTCACCTTCGCGTTCGAAGGTCAAGTATGGCAGTACAAAGTCCTCCCCTTTGGGCTTTCTTTGTCTCTGCGGGTTTTCACTAAGCTCACGAAGAGTGCCCTTTCAGCCCTTTTGCTCGCAGGCATCTGCATACTCTATTATGCCGACGACTAGCTGATTTTAGCCCACTCGTGGGAGCAATTGGTTATTCACAGAGACAAGGTGCTCCGGCACCTCGACCTGTTGGGGTTTCAGGTCAACCGAGAGAAGAGCAAGCTTGCCCACCGTGCAGAGCAAATCTTTTCAGAGGCTCCAGGGGTATATGGCATCGCGGCTGAGGGGGCAACACGTGCTGGTCAGGGAGAATGGAGACTCCCCCCGAGTCTGTCCAACTGATATAAGCGCTTCAAGGAAGCCCAGGTTAACCTGTTTGCTTCCTCCGAGAACGCCCATTGTCAGTGTTTTTTCCCTCACCATGGGCTTACCCGACACGGATGCACTGGCCCACAGCTGGCCTCAGGGCATGCGCAAATATGCGTTGCCCCAGTAAGCCTGCTCGCGCAGTTACTGTGCAAGGTCAGGGAGGACAAGGAGCAGGTCTTGCTAGTTGCATCTCTCTGGCCCAACCAGACCTAAATATTAGAACTCTCCCTCCTCGTAATAGCCTTTCCCTGGTGGATGCCTTTGAGAAAGGACCTCCTTTCTAGGGACGGGGCACCATCTGGCACCCTCGCCCAGATCTATGGAAACTCCACGTGTGGTCCATAGACATCATTTAAGGATCAGGTAGTGAGCCTGCAAACGCTGCCTGCGGTGGAGGCAAACCCAGCCCTTTCATTTCTGCGTCCTGTTTTGCAAATGTATGTGGACCGCACTCAGATCCTCTGAGCAGCTTTTTGTCCGTTATGGTGGTCGGCAGAAGGGAAGTATCGAAACAGCGGTTGGACCACTGGATAGGGGATGCCATCTCCCTCGCTTATCAAAGCCAGAGTGAGCTGTGTCCCCCAGGGGTGAGAGCACACTCCACTCTGAGCGTTGCATCCTCTTGGGCGTTAGCACCCGGCACCTTTCTAACAGACATCTGTAGAGCTGCCTGTAGACGGAAATGCTATGTTTCTTTCACCACAACGATTGTCCCTTAGCTGTTGAGTGTAAAAGCCTCTTCAGCTAGAAAAGGATGCCTCAGCTGAGCACATGCAGTGCTTTTATGCCAAATTGATTGTCATTTATGACAGCTGTGCACGCTGCTGCTGCCAACTCATTGGCATTTCATGGGCCCGTTTTTATACTCTCTGAGATGATTTGATTCTGACGAAATCCCCATATTGGAAGTCTTCAACATAGCATTTTCATTCATGTCCTCAGGAAACGAGGGTTACTTTAGTACCCGTTGTGTTCTTCCAACTCTTTTCAGATAAATTATTCTTATAAGTTATTGGCTAAGCTTCAAGAAATTCGGCTTTACTCACATTGATTTAATGCTTTTCTTAATGTTGTATTAAGTGTTTTATTTGTGTTTGTGTTTATTTGTGTCCTGTAGGTGCTTCACCCTTGTTATTAGTAAGTATTCTTTCTTTCTTTCTTTCTTTCTTTTTTTCTTTCTTTCTTTCTTTCTTTCTTTCTTTCTTTCTTTCTTTCTTTCTTTCTTTCTTTCTTTCTTTCTTTCTTTCATACATTTGGCTATGATAATCCCATTATTGATAATGTTTAAATATTTGCAAGAATAAAATATCTATATCATTATTTTCTTTACTTCAGACCTCAGAAGTTGCAGAAGTGTTTACACCTCAACTCATTGAGATGAATAGAGCAAACAAACACAAAATTACATACAGGTATTGGAAACTTTAAGTTTTGGACATTGTTAAAATATCTCCTTTTTTCTGAACACAGAGGTCTTGTACAAACTCCTATTATGCTTTTCATTTTTGGCTTTATTTCTAGTTAAATTATCTAATTTTCCAAGGCAATAAATTTATTTGAAACCATTTTTTTTAAAGCACATGGCTTAATAGTTTTGTCACTTTATAATGTTACAATCTCTAACTTTTGTGTTTTCCTCATGCATTAATGAGTGTGTATATAGTATGAAGTGGCCAGGGGTAATCCTCACTGTAGTCTTTCATAGCCAGACCTTCAGACTGACTACAGAAGGTCTGAGAAACCTGGCCATTTTGAATAGTAAATATAACTGACAAGTAAAACATTTAGTTTACATTTAGTTTTGCACTGCATTTAGGGGCCTGGAAATGTCCCAACAGAAACTGATGCTATATAACCAGAAAATAATTTAATCACAAATGTTTAGAACAACAGTGGTGCATCAGTCTCCTAAAATGATTTGTTAGCAAAACACCCCGCAAATTGATTGAAAATGCATGTAGAGATTCATGTTTTTGGGATGCATTTCAGCATGAAGAACACAGACACTGAGCTGGCAGAATGTGCACCCTATTACTTTATTTTACAAAAGCAAAAAGCTTTTGTATTTTTGAGTGTAAGAGCCAGTTATGCATAATTCATTTGTGATAATAATTTAGTGAAGGTTAAAACATGATAAAAATTGATATTTAAATTTAATAAGAATTCATTGTGATTGTATTATCTAAAATGCATAATTTAGTAATTGATATAATTTAAAAACCTTTAATTTGGTATTTTGGCTTCCGACAGTAATACGTCATGAGGTCATTAGTTCATACGTTCTAGGCAGATTGCAGTTATGGATGTTGGAAGCAACACAGTTTTTTGACTAATGTAGTGGCACACCTTTCGTGTAAATCATTATGTACCACCTTTTGCAGCTTCAATTCCAACAACCAGTATTAGTCAAAAAACTCGCTAAGAAGATGTCAATGGAATCTCCTTGGATTGCCTTATTGCACGGCTCGACGAACTGATCAACGAGCTGATCGAGTCTATTGTAACTTTGTATTTTTGTTTACATTTGTTCAGTAAACCTTTTTTAAAAGAAGATTCGGTCTTACTCGCGTTTTTGCAAATACTGGTTGTTGGAATTGAAGCTGCAAAAGGTGGTACATAAGGATTTACACGAAAGGTGTGCCACTACATTGAGTATTGTTGGATCACACACTTCACGCCAGATAAAAAAGATCAAGCCCCAGTTTCTTTGGGTGCAGACAACAAGCCAGTGGAGCAGCCCAATACCCAAACCTGTTAACCAGTACTTAACTGAATTAACGTCTCCTATTAATATAGGAGTTGACTGAAAAAGCTAGAGAAGAGCAGAAGCTGGAGACGAAGTAATGCTTATAAATTTGCATAAGATTATAACTACATGGAAAAATGAAAAAATAAATAAATAAATCAATCAATATTTACAATAAAATATTTATAATAAAATATGAATGCATAATAAAATGACAAATAATATTCATTAATAAAAATCTAATCATTAACTAATAATCTATAAAATGATATAGTGATAATTATATAAATAATTAATGATCGAATGATAAAATAAAATAAAAGAAGAATAAATTAATATAAACAAGTGAAAATGAAACACAACACAAATGAATAGTTACACGCGTAAGTTTGCTACAAGGATTCTCAGATCCTTAGTTAGATTCCTCAGTATAAACAAATGTGTAAACCCTTTACCAATTCAAATAAAAAAATAAAACACTGTAAATAATATGTCTATTTTATTATATAAAACAGACAAATTGCTGTAATTTGTCATTACTTATATAGTACAAAAAACAACAGTCAAGCTGTTAATTTACAGATAGTGTTTGAAATTGTTACGTATTTTTTAATATAATTTAAAATAACTGAAAAAATACTGTATAAATAATACTGGAGTTTTCCTGTATACAAAACAAAAATGTCAGTAATTTGTCTTTAATGATAAGGTACCTAAAATGAAAGTCAAACTGTTAATTTAGAGAGATTGTTTGTCATTTTACTAAGTTCTACATATTATTTAAAATGTCAAAAAATTACTGTAAAAAATGTAGGGATATTTTCTGTAAATTATAATTTTTTTTTACAGTGTGATACTAACATCTGAAAACATTATAGACTTCTGTAGTTACATTGTGTACTAAGAATAAAAGAACATGAAAAGTTGCTTTTTTCCTGGCCAATATGACAAGGAATTGTACGAAGCATGTGTTGATCATCTTCTATGGTGGTGGTATTTACCATTATTACATAATAATTGGCACATTCCTGTTGTTTTTTTCTGACTGGCTGAGACAAACAGACTAACAAAAAGAGTTCTGAAATTTACCGTATGTTTTATAATACAGTGATTCTAGAAGATCAAGAAAATGGTCATTTCTAAGTTCATGACTCCTTATAATAACAGAAAAATGTCCTGTCCTTCAGGTTTGTGTGTCCGCATGCTGGTCAGTTTCAGTGCAGTTTGACCAGTCTTGTGTTTGTGATGGATAGTGAAGGAGAGGTGCAGTATAAAGTCGACTCGTGGGATCCTCGTTTGTTAGATGGTTTGGGTCAAATGCAGCCTGCAGGACCCCTATATGACATTGACTGTATTAATGGTTCAATCTCAAATCTACATCTTCCTCACTGTGAAACATTCTCTGGTAGGTTGGTTCCTTTCTTCATACTTGTATGTTGCACAGTGGTTGACTTGTATAGCAGCTGAATAGATCTTATGGCATAGCGACCGATTACTTGCATATCACGTTACTTGGAGCAGCTTATTGTTTGTTCCCGTTAGTAAATGCATTAATTAACATTAACTAATAAACCTTATTGTAAAGTGTGACCAGAATATAGGCTATGTACAGTTGAAGTCAGAATTATTAGCCACCCTTTGAATTTTTTTTCTTTTTTTAAATATTTCCCAAATTATGTTTAACAGAGTGAGGAGATTTTTACAGTATGTCTGATAATATTTTTTCTTCTCGAGAAAGTCTTATTTTGTTTATTTCAACTAGAATAAAAGCTGTTTTTATTTTTTTAAACACCATTTTAGGAACATAACTATTAGCCCCTTTAAACTATTTTTTTTTCTCGAGAGTCTACAGAACAAACCTTCGTAATACAATAACTTGCCTAATTACCCTAACCTGCCTATAGTTTACCTGATTAACCTAGTTAAGCCTTTAAATATAACTTTAAGCTGTATAGAAGTGTCTTGAAAAATATCTAGTCAAATATTATTTACTGTCATCATGGCAAAGATAAAATAAATCAGTTATTAGAAATGAGTTATTGAAACAATTATGTTTAGAATGTGTTGAAAATTTTTTTTTTTCCATTAAGCAGAAATTGGGGGAAAAAATAAACAGGGGGCTAATAATTCTGACTTAAACTTTATGTAAATAATCAGCAATAAGTCAATAATAATTAATAAAATTCAATTTCTTTTAGGGGAAAATAAGGATTGTTTGGCTGTAGCACATTTCACTGTCGGGGGTATAGAAATGATGCAGCCACTCAAAGTCACTGAAACTCATGTGGTGATTGACATCAGAGACCTCTCCTTATTCGGACTCTTAAAAAAAATATTTTCTGGTTCCCCTATTGATGCCCAAGTGTTGCTCTTTCTTCGACCACTAATATGTGGACAGAAAAATAAAATTCTTGATGTCCACTTACTTCCAAAGAACGTTCCCGTATCAGAGGTACTGTCATGTGAATGCATTGTCCATTTCTTTTCCTACTGCTTTGTTTTTACTTTTAATATTATAGAACATCAAAAAACCTGTAAATTGTAAGTCTCATCTAAACGCAATGTGCATTTTTCTATTTGGCATATATAAAATTGATCTATCTTCTAGTATGGTTGAACTGAAGTACATTTGGTTAGTTTGTAAATGTGATGCAGGATTGTGTTGAATTACTGTGTGAATGTGTAAGTAAATTTACCCCTTTTTTATTTTGCTCTTTAAGGTCCAGTGCTGCCACCAGGATAAAGCCTACATTGAAACAAGTTCAAAATGTCGCTTGTTTCCTCATAGACTTTACAGTCTGTGTTGTCAGCCAGAGGAATGTGAGGTGCAGCCAACGGTAAACTAATTAAATAACACTTAAACCTTAACAGTTTCTGGGTACTATTATTTGGATTAATCAATTACCGTTTTAATTAATATTTTAAAGTGGTGGTCTAATAGTTTTTTGAAAGCTTGATTATGTTTATGAGGTGCATAATGTTCATTTATAAATCATAATATTATATTATTCTACCTTTATTGTATATTGCTTTCAGCTACAAATAAAACAATTAGTGGATTTTCTGGCTCTTTGAAGGCCCCCCAAAACCCCCCCCAAAAATTGTTATGGGCTCTGATTGGTTAACTGGCCGAGTGTGTTTATATGAATAGCAATATACATTATTTTTCACTACATGCAAATTGGAATTGATGCTATTTACACTAAAAGAAAATGGCACATAGTAGATGCTATTTACACTATGTACAAACAGGGACAAAAGCTTTGCACACTGTTGTGGGCTGTTCACATTAAGTGAAAATAGCATTTTTTTTAAAGCTTTTCTAATTTCACGTAGTTCAAATTGCTATATACACTCACCGGCCACTTTATTAGGTACACCTCTCCAACTGCTCGTTATCACAAATTTCTCATCAGCCAATCACATGGCAGCAACTCAATGCATTTAGGCATGAAGACATGGTCAAGACGATCTGCTGCAGTTTAAATAGAGCATCAGAATGGGGAAGAAACGCGTCAGGTTACGAATGTAACCATGGTTCCCTAAGGGAACGAGACGCTGCGTCTCTTTTAGGGGACACAATGGGATACCATCCCTCTCTTATAACCTTCTGAAGCACAGGTGTAATCAATCCAATGTAATTGGCGAGATGCAATGTGCGTGTGGCGTCAGACCACAGGTATAAAAGCCCCACACACACAGTGAACTTCAGCTTATACCTCTCGAATGGAGCGCACCAGGTATAAAAAAGTATGGCAACGCGACGCAGCGTCTCGTTCCCTTAGGGTTCCCTTTCGGGAACTCTACACTGCATCTCTTTTAGGAGACACAATGGGAACGCTATCCCAAACACGGCTTAGTTTTACATGCCAGGGATGAGTTCTCCTTATATTGCTAGGACAATGGAACCCGGAGTAGGGTCCAGGTCCAACTGATAAAACCTTACAAAGGTATGCGGGGTAGACCACCCAGCTGCGTTGCAGATGCCAGTCAAAGACTGGCCAGAACTAAAGGCTTTCGAAGCCGCCATACTCCTGGTTGAGTGAGCCCTGATGCAGGGCTTCATATGCTAGTGAAATAGCCTCGACTATCCACCGGCTCAGAGACTGCTTAGATGCTGGCGCCCCCATTTTGGGTGAGCCATACAAAACAAACAACTGTTCTGTTGTACGCCAAGCAGACGTACGATGTACGTATGCATCTAGTGCCCGCACTGGGCAAAGCAGATTCAAGCGCTCCTGATCTGGCGTCATAAATGGTGGAGGATTAAAGGCCTGCAGCACAGTAGGTCGCACCACCTCAGTGGGGACCTTAGGAACGTACCCTGCTCTGGGGTACAGAAATGCTCTCACCATACCAGGTGAGAATTCCAGACCAGAGGGAGCTACAGACAATGCTTGTAAATCTCCTACTCTTTTGATGGATGTAATGTCCAACAAAAAAAATTGTTTTAAGGGTCAGAAACTTTTCTGACACATCCTCAATTGGTTCAAAGAGGGCTGTCGACAGGCCCTCAAGCACTATCGACAAATCCCAAGTAGGAAACCTATTGGCGCAGGCCTCAACCTCCTGGTTCCACGGAGGAATCTGACCATCAGAGGGTCTTTGCCAAGACCATCAGTACGGTATGCGGAAATTGCAGCTACATAACCTTTAAGCGTTGACGGAGTCAAACCGAATTCAAAACGCTCCAGGAGAAATTGCAGTACTGAGCCCACAGGACAGTGGACTGGATCCAGGTGGTGGTCTGTACAACAAGAAGTAAAAAGTTTCCACTTGGTGGCATACAATCTCCTCGTGGAGGGAGCTCTGGAGCTTAGTATGGTTTGAACAACCTCAGTTGACAAACCAAGATCTACAAGGTGGGCCCCCTCAGAGGCCACACCCACAGTTTCCAGAAGTCCGGGTGGGGGTGCACTATCATTCCCCCCGCCTGGGACAGGAGGTCTCTCTGGATGGGAATCTCCCATGGGAGACCGTCGAGGAGACACACTAGGTCCAAGAACTACACTCGTGTGGGCCAATAAGGGGCTACCAGCAATAGGTTGTACCCCCCTTGACGGACCCTCTCCAGGACTCCCGGGAGCAGAGCGATTGGGGGAAAAGCGTACAGACGAAGCCTCGGCCACATCTGCACCATGGCATCCAGCCCAAAAGGTGCTGGATGTGTGAGGGAGAACCACAATGGGAAATGTGTTGTTTTTTTGACTGGCGAATAGACCGACGTCGGCTTTGCCGAATCTTTGACAAATGGCCGCCACCACTTTTGGGTGTAGTCGCCATCCCCCAGGCTCCAACCCCTGTCTCGACAGGAGGTCCGCTCCCACATTCATCGGGCCTGGGATGTAAGCTGCATTCAGAGAGAGCAGCCTCCCCTGAGCCCACAGATGGATTTGATTCGCCAACCTGCACAGAGGGCGCGAGTTCAAACCCCCTTGATGGTTGATGTAAGAGACCACCGATGTGTTGTCGGTCTTCACTAACACATGGTGACCTCTCACTTGAGGGAAGAAGTGCCTTAGAGCCTGAAACACTGCTAACATCTCTAAGCAGTTGATATGCATGTGTAGATGATGGTCCCTCCACTGTCCCGATGCGGGAAGGCCCCTCAGGGTCGCTCCCCAGCCCTTGCGTGAGGCATCTGATGTCAGAGCCAGGCGCTGAGATATTATTCCCAGTGTAGGGCCCTGGGACAAAAACCAGGGCTTTTTCCATATCTATAAAGCTCGTAGGCAATGCCTTGATGCTTTGATTGTGTGAAACGGATTTCCCCTCGGGGAAAACCCCCTGGTTTTGAGCCACCACTGTAATGGTCTCATGTGTAGCAGACCCAATGGGATTATGTTGGAGGCTGCCGCTAGTAGACCCAACAGCTTCTGGAACTGTTTGACAGTGATGGCTTGGCCCAGTCTGATCCTCTTTGCGGCTGCCCGAATCGACTCGACAGACACGAAAACATCGTCGTGGAGTCCAATAGCACACCTAAAAAAAGTGGTCGTCTGAGCTGGCACAATCACACTTTTCTTTTGGTTTAGCCGCAACCCCAATTTCTCTATGTGAGCGAGAACAACAACTCGATGTTGAACCGCTAACTCCCTCGATCGGGCTAGAATGAGCCAATCGTCGAGGTAATTGAGAATTCGAATCCCTTGTAGCCGCAGCAAAGCCAAAGCTGCGTCGATGACTTTGGTAAATGTGCGGGGTGAGAGTGCTAGGACAAACGGAAGAACCCTGTACTGATAAGCCTTGCCCCCGAAGGCGAATCTGAGGAACTTCCTGTGACTTGGAAGGATGGATATGTGGAAGTATGCGTCCTTCAGATCTATCGTGACAAACCAGTCCTCGGACTGTATTTGTGACACGATGGTGCTGATAGTCAACATTTTGAACTTCAGTGTTTGTACGGAGCAATTTAGATGTCTTAGATCTAATATCGGACGCAACCCTCCATCCTTCTTTGGAACAATGAAGTAACGGCTGTAAAACCCTGACTCGATGTCTAGAGGAGGGATCTGTTCTATGGCTCTCTTTCTCAGAAGAGATTCTACTTCTTGTTCCATCACTAGAGCCTGCTCTGGCTTCATTAGGGTATGGAGCAGCGAGAGCGGCATGAAGCAAACTGAATTCTGTAGCCCTTCTCTATGGTAAGCAGGACCCACTGCAAAACATTCGGCAGCTGTTTCCACTCTGCCAAGAATTTCTGCAGGGGTACCAGTCTCTCGAGACTGGTCTCTATGTTCCCCTGAGTAGCTAACTCTGGGCACTGAGGCGAACTCACCACAGGAGGCCCTTGATTTAACTGCTTTTATACCCTCAGTAGAGGGGGCGAGTCCACTAACGTCACCACTTTTGGGATGAAACGTTTGTGGATACCGCTGGGGGTCTCCACGCCCCGAGGCACCAACTGTGGGAGGATTGGTGGATAGACCCCCTGTGGGCAACGAGGAGGTGGCCTTTGCTCCTCGTTGGGGGCTGCCCGAAGAAGTCCCAATACTAGGACTTCTTCTGAGGCCCAGACCGTTTTACAACGATGGTCCTCGGACCACCGTATTTTACCGTCTTCACCTCTTGAGAGCGTTTCCCACCCCATTTCCTTTTTGGGGGCTGACGGGAAGCCACACTCTCTTTTTGATCGACTCTATACTGGGCAGAAGAGCTGGTTGACGGCTGGGGCTGGTCCTGCTGCATAGCCCCAAAAGGATGTTCTTTCGGGCGGAGTAAGCTCCCGTAGGAGCCCAACCTCTTTTTCGCCCGCTAAAACGATTTGGCGACTCGATCTACAGAGTCGCCGAACAAACCCGCGGGCGAAATGGGAGCATCAAGGAAAATACGTTTAACTTCCTCCTTGATGTCCGCTTGATTTAGCCATAAATGTCTCTCCGTTACCACCATGGCCGCCATAGAGCGGCCTAAAGATCTAGCTACTTCTTTGGTGGCACGGAGAGACAGGTCCGAGGCCGAAGTATTTCTCTTACTGTATCAAGAGCTTCCTTCAGCAGGTCCGCCTGGTATGCCTGCAAAAGTGACATCGTGTGCAGACACCCAAGAGACTGGCCTGCTGCCGCATATGCCTTGCCGACTAACATAGATGTTAACTTAATTGGTTTTGACGGCAAGGCGGGGATCTTCGCCGACGATGCCTGAGGTAGCAAATGGCGCGCCAAATGCTCCTCCATTTTTGGTATTGTGCGGCATCCGTGCTCATTCAAACCAGCAACGGCTGAATATATTGATCCTTGCTGGCTTATAACACGGGCAGTGTATGGGTTTTTCCATGTGTAAATGATCTCTTTTTGCAGATCTTTGTTAAATGGAAGACCCCGCCTCAGAGGCAGGATGCGTTCATCACATAAACCAGCTTTTTGACACACTTCCTGCCTTTCCACTTGCAAGTTAATATTACATTTTGCTGTTACATTGGCCAGGACCTCTGCCAGCTCATCATATTCGGGGCATAATGGGGGAACGTTTTTATTTGGCCCCGAAGGCCCTCCATACTCTCGACTCCCTCAGAAGCCGGGAGGCGGAGCAGCTGGCAAGAAGCCGATGAACGGGCTCTTTATCAAACAGAGTGCGGCGACTTCGCAGCACTCGGCCAGGAAGTGAATCGCAAGGCACACAGCCACCCCCCCTCAAGGGCTGACTCTGCGTGCTCCTGACCGAGGCACTGCACACACAAATCATGCGTGTCCTGTTCTGTGAGGAAACGAGGACATGGAGAAACACATGATCTAAATTTCTTTTCCATTTTACTTATTTTTAAATAGAAAATGAAAGTGTGTTCTTTGATTCAGTATAAATGATTTTTGTAGTGCCCTATCAGTGCTGTGAGTGCTTCAAAATCAGCAAACTCATTCGCAGAGTGAAGAGAGAAAAAGCTGAAGTTCACTGTGTGTGTGGGGCTTTTATACCTTTAGTCTGACACCACACGCACGTTGCGTCCTGCCAATTACATTTGATTGATTACACCTGTGCTTCAGAAGGTTGTAAGAGAGAGATGGTATCCCATTGTGTCTCCTAAAAGAGACACAGCGTAGAGTTCCCGAAAGGGAAGGTGATTTAAGTGACTTTGAACGTGGCATGGTTGTTGGTGCCAGATGGGCTTGTCTGAGTATTTCAGAAACTGCTGATCAACTGGCATTTGCACGGACAACCATCTCTAGGGTTTACAGAAAATTATCCAAAAAAGAAAAATTATCTAGTGAGCTGCAGTTCTGTGGGGGCAAATGCCTTGTTGATGCCAGAGGTCAGAAGAGGATGGCCAGACTGGTTCGAGTTGATAGAAAGGCAACAGTAACTCAAATAACCAGTAGTTACCACTGAGGTATGCAGAAGAGCATCTCTGAACGCACAACACATCGAACCTTGAGGCAGATGGGTTACAGCAGCAGAAGAGTTCACCTGGTGCCACTCCAAGAGAACAGCAAACTGAGGCTACATTTCGCATTGGCTCACCAAAATTGGACAATAGAAAATTGGAAAATGTTGCCTGGTCTGATGAGGCTCGATTTCCGCTGCTACATTTGGATGGTAGGGTAAGAATTTGTCATCAACAACATGGAAGCATTGATCCATCTTGCCGTGTATCAACGGTTCAGGCTGGTGATGGTGGTGTAATGGTGTGAGGCATATTTTCCTGGCACATTTTGGGCTCATTAGTACCAATTGAGCATTGTGTCAATGCCACAGCCTACCTGAGCATTGTTGCTGACAATGTCCATCCCTTTATGACCACAGTGCAGGATAACGCACCATGTTATAAAGCGCAAATCATCTCAGACTGATTTGAACACGGCAATGAGTTCACTGTACTCAAATGGCCTCCACAGTCATCAGATCTCAATCCAATAGAGCACCTTTGGGATGTGGTGGAACAGGAGATTCACTTCATAGATGCTGAAATCTGCAGCAACTGCGTGATGCTATCAAGTCAATATAGACCAAAATCTCTAAGGAATGTAAACAGTTAAGGCAGTTCTGAGGGCAAAAGGGGGTCCAACCCGATACTAATAAGGTGTATCTAATAAATTGACCAGTGAGAGTATTCTATTTACTCTATGTGTAAATCCAATGTTGGGACTTTGTTTAGGATTTCCCGTTTTCTTTATCTTTTTTTTACTGCACCACTATAGCTATGGTTAAGAGGGAGTTGTGTGACTTTGTTGAAACGAGACATTGCTGGATGGAGTTATAGTGCAAATAGCCTCTACAGAAGGGGCTATTTATAGTAAAGACTCAGTCATGGTAATTAAATAAGAATAAACATTTCTTGCATTGCCTGTAGTTCCTATCCTAACTTTGGGCTATTAATGTTTGCCTAGCATACTAAATGTGTGGTAACAGTAAGTGTGAAGGCCTTCAAACATTGCTCACTCAATCAAAACGAGAAGCTAGCAGCTTAATAATGTAAAGTGCTCATTATATTGGTGTTTTTATTTTTTTCAGAGTGAGATCTTTGAGCATAATAATTTTGGTCCAAACTATCATCCTACATTTGAAGTGTTTCTGGAAGTGGACACAGAGGAGGTCAGATTGGGGATTTTGGATGAAGCTGAAAGTAGGAATGTAGTGTGGAACAAACGGCGAATTTTACTTACAGGTAGTCATGAAGTTGTTGTTCAAGGCATGTGATTAGGGAAATATACTTTACCATTTTATTTTGTTGAGCTATAATCTTACCTTAAGGCAATTAAAGAACAATTCAACTTATTAAAGTACAAAAGCTGAACGTGACTTTTTCTTTGTTTTGTTTTTATGACAATAAAACGTTGAACTTTTTTATTATTAATACCACCAGGTCAAGGTTCACAGCACAAAAGGAAATCAGGTCTGATTTTAATGCAAAATATATTATATTAATATATAACATCATTTAAATGTTTATTCTTGTCATTGTGTTTTACAGATGCAATAGTGTGAGTAACATTAGTTTTGTTTCAATCAGGAAGTGAATTTGTGGATGCCCTCAGAGATAAACTCATTCAGAGAGTTTCATCAGTGATGGCGATTGCTGACAGCCTGAAAAGCAAACGCATGATTACAGATGAACTATACAATAAAGTAGAAGTGTCAGATACAGATACAGAGAAAATGAGACGATTGTTTAAAGGTCTGGACTCTGGAGGAGCTTCTGTGAAAGCAGAGTTTTACCGTCTGCTGATGGAGAATGAACCTCATCTAGTAGATGAACTGGAGTCTGGACACAGCGGATCTAGCAGACCTCAGTAATGCTAAGAGTGAGCAAGAGGCATAAACTCCAGCTTCAGGGTAAATATACAGGACTGTGTCTAACAAGAGTTTTCAGAACTGATATTAACTCCGCAAGTAGCTGTAAAACTATTCTTTTTCTTTTGCATGATTGAACCAAATGAACCAAAGAGCACCAAACCCTCTGTACAATACCACACAACTTATTAAAATCTGGAATGAGGCTTCATGTGTTTTAGCATGATGTCATTTTGTATATTTTTGAATCTATAAAATAACATGTAAACTATTATGCTTTCCATTCTTTCTATTGTAGATCCCCACTATGCTGCTTGTGTCAAAGTAATTTGCTTGCTTGCCAAGCATTTGACATTTTGTAAACCTTTACTTGTTTTTCAGAATAATTAATCAACTGTTACTAGGTCATATTTTTGGTTTTGTATTTTGACATTTTTAATATAAACAAAGCACAAAATAAAAGTTCATAATGCTATATGTTGGACAGTTTTTTCTATTACAAGAGGACAATGAACTGGATTTCAGGAGTAACCGAGACATGGTCTCACATTCACATACTAGAAACACAACACTGCACATTCATTCCCTTACCTTCTGTTTCTGATATGTGAACTTGATCATCTGCGGGTTTATTGTCTTCTTTGCATAAAGTACATCAATATGCCAAATCCTGAAATGAAGAAGTTAATTTGGACAATCAAAAGCATAATTTCATTTGGTTCTTCTGTAAAACAATTATTACAAATGTGTTAAAATGTGTGCTCATAGTAGATTAATGCATGTTTTTGTTTTTTATATATAAAGTTATTTGTTTTGTAAAGCAGCTTTCGGTTTAGTTTGTTATCTCAGATTTAACCTCCTGTTGCGTGGTTGCTGTCAGTCAACAATATATCGCTTAAACCAGTGTTTCTCATCCACGTTCCTGGAGGACCACTAGCACTGCATGTTTTGGATGTCTCTTGTCTGTCACACCCATTTCAGGTCTTTCAGAGTCTGCTAATGAGTTTGGTTAAGGAGACATTGATCATGTGCAGAGCTGCAGGAACATGGTTGAGAAACACTGGTTTAAACCCATCTCATACTTCCACGTTGTGAAAGCATCCTGTTATTCGCTTAATCCACACAAATGACTTTACTGACAAAACTAAACCTTTGTTAAATTGTGGTTTTCACATCTGATTCTCTTAGGAGCATCATTATAGAGCAGCAACAGCTCCAGACACTGACAGTGAATACAAAAAATCTGATTGTTCCTGTTTACTTCAAAATTGATAGCGCTCTGGCGTAATAAACAAAATGTATTGTATTACAAATTAACACAATTTGAGTCATGAGCTTGCAATAGGCATGAATAGTGCAGAATAATAGGGATTTTATACAAACTTGTGAAGAGCTAATGACAATAATACAGTCAAACACACACAGAAATCAGCAAACTGTTAGGACTTTGTAAATTCTTTATGTAGCCTATTTAAGTTTGTTAACCCTTAAGTACTGTTGGGGGTGTTTTCATCCCTTCTTGGGTGATTATGAATCTGAATTTGGCCACAAATCTCTCTGTGTTTCACGAATGGAATGATTTTTGGTGACATCTTATTTTGACTCATTTTTTGGGAAAACGCTTTTGAGGTTTTCTAAATTTGCTACCCTTTTGTTATGTTTGTGGCCGTTGTTGCCCCATTGACTTCTATTATAATGACATTTTTTGATTTCGATGCCATGACGACATATAATTATGCATTCTTGATTGTTGCTGGTTTTTCCTGTATTACATTTGCAGTACTACACCATGGCCCATTTCAAGGCAAGGTAATACATAACGCTAATTCAAGAAAAAATGCATCACATCTCGTATTTCATTATATTATCATGTGATTATTATTGATTACAAATCACAAAACCACTGCTAGTCTTCTGGTGGCAGCTCTTTACTGACAGTTTCCATGAGACAGGAAACAAACTTTGGCAAGAATCTCACAGAATCTGTAAAGAAAGTCAGACTTACTACATTACTACTGTATGTAGTATGTAGCAACTATGTATAAACAATTATGCAAATACATGTAAGTAAATCATAGATATTTTCTAAAGTGAAAAACAACATTGTGAATACCCAAGTGCAAAGATTTCCATTTTGGATTCTTTTCTTCCACATGATGAGCAGCACTCATCTCTTAACACTGCAATTATTAAAGAAAACACATAATTGTTGTGATAGTGTTTATTAAAATAATGTGTGGTACCTTAACTTGAATAGATGTGTTCAAGTCATAATCATAATGATTGTACTGAAGTGTATTTTCATTTCATATTTAATTAAAGATGTGTATCTCTTCCAGCGCTAAGAGATATTTACCGGTCAATATACGTTCATACTCTCACCTATGGTCATGAGCTTTGGGTCATGACCCAAAGGACAAGATCTCGGATACAAGCGGCCGAATTTAATTTCCTTTAAAGAGTGGCAGGGCACACCCTTATAGATGGGGTGAGGAGCTCTGACTCCTGGAAAGAGCTTGGAGTAGAGCCCCTGCTCCTCCACATTGAGAGAAGTCAGCAGAGGTGACTCGGGAATCATGTTCGGATGCCTCCTGGACGCCTATCTTGGGAGGTGTTCCAGGCATGTCCCACTGGAACGAAGCCTCGGGGATGACCAAGGACATGCTGGAGGGACTATGTCTCTTGAAGGAGCTGGAGGAAATGTCTGGAGAGAGGGAAGTCTGGGGTTTTCTCCTAAGACTGCTACCCCCGTGACCCGGCCCTGACAAAGCGGTTACAAATGAATGAATGAATTTATTTCTTATATGTTAACAAAGGGCCAGAAGCTACAACAATTTTCTCCAATATGGTAGCTCTCAATGCAGTATTTTCTGACCATCTTGCAATCATAAATAAACCAAAATTACTGAAAAAATAAAATAAATATCTTTGTTGTCATTAAAAGATTTCTTTAATCACATGTACTTCAGCAGAGTAGCATTTTAAGCCCATCGGTGAAGTTCACAAGACTCAATCTGGCCATGATTTGATTTGCTTTACTTGTAATTAATGTCAAAAAAAGAAGAAGAAGAAAAAAAAACAGCATTATTCATATTACATATGAACATGTATTCGTTCATATACGTTGTTTACACATGTATATAAATTACTACATCTAGTTCAACGTGTTTTTAAAGTCCCCATGAACCGGAAGCTGCAACTGTTATTTTTTTCTTATTGTGATGCAGTTCCTAGAGAAACAATATATTAAATGACAAAATAGTGCATCGCTTTTTTTATACTAATTGGCTTGATAGAGGCTTAATTTATTTATTTATTTTAATTTAATGATTTTGGTAACTTATTGTTTTATAAACGCTTTGATTTTTTAAAATCTTGATTTTTCTTAGAGTTCTTAGAGCTATCCCCACAGGTTTAATGCATTTGGTCAAAAGTCATATTCATTCATTTTCTTTTTTGGCTTAGTCCCTTTATTAATCAGGGGTCGCCACAGCGGAATGAACCGTTAACTTATCCAGCATATTTTTTACACAGCGGATGCCCTTCTAGCCGCAACCCATCACTGGGAAACCTATACACACTCATACACTACGGACAATTTAGCCTACCCAATTCAGTACCGCATGTTTTTGGACTGTGGGGGAAACCGGAGCACCTGGAGGAAACCCACGCAAATGCAAGGAGAACATGCAAACTTCACACAGAAATGCCAAATGACTCAGCCGAGGCTCGAACCAGCGACCTACTTAATGTGAGGCGACAGCACTACCTACTGTGCCACTGTGTCACCCAAGTCATATACAATACAATCAAAAAAATATAAAGGAATTAGCATTATTGCTGGACAGCATTGACATTCATGATATAAAATAACAATAAACATATTCATCTAATTCTTCAGCAAACAAATCGTATTGTTCCGTGCAGCAGTTTCCAATGTGCTGCATTAATTTGATAATATAAAACTAAAGAAATCCACTTTAACCCTTGTGTGGTGTTTGTATTTTGGTTACTTAGCCAGTGTTCATGGGTCTAGTAGACCCGCTAGAGTTTTGGGTTTCCAAATTAACACTATCAAACAATTTTATGTTAAATTACTCAACAAATGTTTACTTAATCCCAATTACAAGCCATATGCACAGCAAACATGGTTAATTTTCCCCTTTACCTTTGTTAGATCATATTGATGAATTATTGTGCTTCTCATTTAAAAAATAATAATTATTAATGTTATAAAAAAAATAAAACCCACAGATTTGTTTTTTCGTATTGTTTCCACCATGGTCATGGACATCATCATCAGAAGCTCCTCTCTCTTCCACAATCAACTGCAAGGCCCTCGCAGCAGATAATCCTTTGGCCATCTTGATCAGTTGTGATAAAGAACCACTGGCAAAGTCTTATTTATAGTACTATGCCCCTATTTCGCAGATGGGACAGGGTATGAGAAAATAAAGCTTGGTTGCCACAAGAGAGAGAGGGTAAAATGTGCGGGAATGTAAGAGCAGACAGTGTAGATAGTTTAATTTGCAACAAAGTTGCAACTTTGTGCGGAGAAGGAGGGATAGCGGAAGAAAACAGCAGCACCAGAAAGGAGGAGGACAGAATGTGGGAACACTGGACCTACACTTTCTATTAGATCTGGGTCTAATGGACCCGTACACCTTGTACTGTATGTAATGTAAATGTGTGGGGGGAGGTACATTATGCGGTCATTGAAATTTTTTTCGGATTTATGTTCTTCACAGAAAATAAGCCAAACCAAATGAATTTCAGGTTGAAAAAACTAATTCATTGTTTAATTTTTCTACAAAAAAAATTAATAAAAACAGGTCTTACAGATCCGAACACCATACAAGGGTTAAAATATTGCATAAAATATATCAGGTTAGCTCATTTTTTTCCAGATATGTTGATATTCTGAGTAGTTGTACATTTTGTGGTATGGATGATGAAACTTCAATACATTTATTTTGTATGTGTGATTTTGTCCAGAAGTTTAGGTTTGAGTTGTATCATTAGATAAACAGCCCTCCCACCTTTGCACAATCTTTTAGTTTAAAATAAATTATTTGTTATTACTCAGAATCTGCACTTAAATCTAGTGAATGTATCTTCAACTTTTTTATTTTTTGATTGAAGTTGACTCACTGCTTAAATTTCTCGGTACGTGTAACAACAAAAAATGTGTCAGATTTTTGGAAGAACTGTTGTCTATTGACTCTAATTTGAGTTAGATAGCTCTCCTGTAATGCTCTTAACTTATTTATTTTCATACACTTTTGTACAATTGTAATTTAGTTACCCCATTCTTTGTTTTGTTTGTTCTTTTCTCTGTGTATTCAATGTAACTTGAATTTTACCTCTCTCATATCTCTCTTATTGATCTCCTGATTGTGGTGGTACATTTTAATTCATGAATAAAAAAAAAGACAAAACAGTAGGCGTGGCTTGAATGTTTCTACTTTGAGCTGATTGGATGTATTAAAGTAGACATTTCATTCTGAAAGATTGGGAAAAGTGTTTGAGAAGAGTTATAAAAAAAACCAGCAAGACTCCACCTCACCATTTCTGTTTGTTATCAAAACTGACAGTAGGAGCAGTCTGATTAAATGTTAGCCACGCCCATTTGATAAGATTTTAATAAAGATTAAATGGGCAAACCCATCTTTTTTTTCCTTAATGGCATGCACAGATTATTTGTTCACAAAACTAGCAACGTGAGCTAACAAAATCATATGGTTAGTTTTGATTTCTTTCCATTTTAATGTTTCTAAATTCCTTTAGTAGGCTATATACATAGAAATGTCTGTGACATTGTTTGCAGATGATTTTTATTAACACTGAGAGGTTGTATCAAGGATAGTGAATGTTAGCAGCCTGTTCTTGAAACTAATTTGTAGACGGTCCCTCAAAAAAGCGACGCGTCGCAGCCAGGGTCGCTGCCTTCCATAGAGGTAAGCGTGGTCATGTGTTGTGAATTTTTCTTATGATCGAATTTAGCATTTACTTGCTGATTTAAAAACTTTTTGATCGCAGAAGTCCGAATGTGGGAATATAAAACTTACCGATTGCGAACTAAGAAAAGCCTTTAAAGCATATTAAGGTAAAATTTGTTTTTATTTTCGCACATTTGGATGTCCTCCTTAATATAATTTCAGAAAAGCATTATTTCTGATGCCTGTGTAGAGTTAATGTGGACTTATATTAGGAGCCTATAAAAACTCTATTTACAGTCAAACAAATGCTAATATTGTTTTGAAGTGAGAATTTTATGTGATTTCAGACAGAATATTTAAAGTACCATGGAGACGTTAAACAATATATAGTCAGCTTGTGACAAGTTGTCTCTGAACGAATGTGCGAATATACAATATATAACAAATCTTACCTCAATGTATGGGCTAGCTAGGCTAGCATACTTTCACTCTTGTAGTTGCTCATGGAAAAATAACAGACCGGGTGGAGCTTTTGACCAGCGTTTTGGATCAGACTCGAGACTCTTAAGGTTATTTTGCATTGTAACGTTAAACAAGAAACGCTTTTCTTTGTGCTTCTTTGCTCTTTTGTTAACTCTTTCTTTAGGTAAGATTTATTTTATGTAGCCTATTGGATTTTTGTTTTTTGTACGGTATTAATAAGTTAATGTTGTTGCTTGACTTGTGTTTTATTCAGTGTTTTGTTTACTTGTTTTTACCGGTGATTTATTTCTTGGTTACTGCTATACCAGTTTTAGCCATGGCTTTTGGTGTGGCCATGTTCGCTCCGGTGTGTCTCATCGAAAATGACGGATTTGGGAAGTTAAGTGTGAAGAAACAGGCAAAAGACATTCTGGATCGGATCATTGAGCCCGTGGTGGTGGTGTCTGTGGTGGGACCCCACCGTACGGGAAAGTCTTACCTTGTGAACCTCCTGGCAGGACTACAAACTGGTGAGAGCTACATGCTGAGCAAAACACTATACAGTCTACTGCTAGTAAAACACAAACAGTAGACTACATGCTGGTATGAAATGAGGACACAACATGGTCGATTAAAATAAAGATAAGTAATATTGTTTAAATATTTTTTCTTAGACTTTACAGACCTAAAACTTGCCTATAGCTCTACTCATTGTTGATCTTATAGTTGTGTAAATTGCTTCCTTGTCCTCATTTGTAAGTCGCTTTGCATAAAAGTGTCTGCTAAATGACTAAATGTAAATGTAAATATTAAAAGTAATTCTCCTTAGTGAGCTTGTAATCTATTCTTGTATTGTATGTATTAAAAGCAGTTCAAATACCTTAAATTTGCTTTTTGTTTTTAAATACATTTAATCTAGCCATTTTTTGTGGAGCATAAAGTAAACAATTCCAGTGTGACCTAACATAACTGATATAATATAAAAACAACAAAACAGAGAATCCTGATATTCAGAAAATCTGTAGGAAATCATTGCGGTTATCTTTTTTCTTGAAGGAAATGACATCCCAAAAATATTCTAAAATCTGAAGTATTTCTTCAAAACAGTTTTTCAGAAACAGTAATTAATTCATCTATTTTCCTTTGGCTTAGTCCCTTTATTCATCAGGTGTCGCCACTGTGGAATGAACCGACTACTTATCCAGCATATGTTATACACAGCTTACGCCCTTCCAGCTGCTACCCAGTAATGGGAAACATCAATACACACTCATTTACACACATACACTATGGCCAATTTAGTTTATTCACCTATAGTGCATGTCTTTGGACTTGAGTGGGAAACCAGAGGACCTGGAGTAAACCGACACCAACACAGGGAGAACATGCAAATTCCACAGAGAAATGCCAGCTGACCCAGCTGGGACTCGAACCAGCGATTTTTCTTGCTGTGAGGTGTACAGTGTTACCCACTGAGCCACTGTGTTGCCTTTTTCAGAAACATAGTCTACATAAATTTATTTGAATACAAATTGCATGACACAAATTATATCAAATTTTGTTTTTGTTATTGTGATTGTCATTTTTTTCCTCAGGTTTTTCTCTCGGCTACACTATTGAGTCAGAGACCAAAGGCATCTGGATGTGGTGTATCCCTCACCCGACGAAAAAAGGACACACTCTAGTGCTGCTGGATACAGAAGGATTGGGTGACGTGCAGGTGTGTATGAAAATCACAGGGCGGAAGCTATAGAAGCATTATCTTTATATGAACCAAATTTTAACATGTGCATTTGTGTTCACTCTCCATGCATTAATTACAAAGGGACAAGGAAATACACAGCACTTGGGGATAGTTCACCCAAAAATAAAAATTCTGCCATCATGTACTCTTCCTTTTTCAAACCTATTGAGTTTTTTTTTTTTATTTGAATACAAACGATTTATATTCTGAAGAAATATTCTAAAGAAAGCTGAAACCTGTAACCATTGACTTCCTTAGTAGTTGAACTTCCTACTATGAAAGTCAATGGTTACAGGTTTTAAGCTTTCTTTTAATGTTCACTGTTTTCATTTTTCTTTAGTGTTCAACAGAATAAAAAACTCAAAGGTTTGTAACCATTTGAGGGTCAATATATAGTGAGTACATTTTTCCTTTTTGGGTGGACTATTCCTTTAACTTGTTCCTACAGATCAGTTTTAAATTAAATGTATCCTTAAGTAACTTTAATTCTCACATTTTATTAATATTTCAGGAGAAAGAGAAGAATGACAAATGGATCTTCTGTCTGGCTGTTCTTCTCAGCAGTGTTCTGGTGTACAACAGTTTAGGGGTCATTGATGATGAGGCAGTGGAAAAGCTGCAGTATCCTTCCCACATATAAAAGAATATTTATGATAATAAACACAGAACAGCAGCAGTGTTATTCCTCCTGAGCAGTGCTGAATGTAGCTATGTTACAGAGTTGCCGGAGAACATCCGAGTGAAGGCAGAAGGTGATGAAGATGAGTCTGCAGAATTCATGCATGTTTTCCCATCATTTGTCTGGGCTGTTCAGGACTTCGATCTGGAGTTTGAAATAGAGGACGAATGGATGACATCAGATGAGTATCTGGAGAGCGCACTGAAGCTTAAAAAAGGTGAGGTAACGAGTTGACATTAAACACATAAAGTACATAAAGCACACAGTCACAAACACCATCATAGATCATCTATAGTCATTTTGAAAAACATTTCCATCCGATTTAAAGTACAAATGGCCTTATTTGAATTAGATGACCGTATATTCTTGTTCCTAAAGCTAGAGTGTACATCTGTTTGATTATTTGAGAAATCTTTCCAAACAAATTTTCCTAAAACAATTACAGCTTTTTTTTATATGAACAATGGATTTCATCCTTTAAACTCAAGTACTGCTGAAAACAGCATTATGGCTAGTGCCTGTAAACATACAAATGGTTTACTTACACATGTCCCTTCACATTAAAATAGTATTTTGCCATCAATGATTTTACATACAGCACATTTCAGAGTTTCTACAAGGTATTACATAAGTGGCATTGAGCTTGATAGGCTATAAATTAGTAGTCATAATATGATATACAGTTGAAACCAGAAGTTTACATACACTGTATAAAAAGGCACATAACCATTTAAAGAAAGCCAGATGTTAATGTGACTAAACTTTTTCTCTTTTGGGCAAGTTAGGATTATCAAATTTGTTTCTTTTATGCTTAATAGCAGAATAAGGAGAGAGATATTTTTTTTTGAGAAATTGGTGTAACTTCTTGAAATTCAAGTTTACATACAATAAAATTATTTTGCCTCTGAAAAAGCTCAGATGATGATGTCAAGGTTTTGGAAGTTTCTGATTGGCTAATTGACAACATTTGAGTTAATCGGAGGCACAACTGTAGAATATTATTTAAGGAAAACCTTAAACACACTGCTTCCTTGTGTGACAACATGGGAAAATCGACAAGCTAGAATAATTACACTGGAAAAAAGACACATTATTGGAGACATATCCTGTGTGTCTGATTAAACTAAGATTAAACTGTTTGGGCATAATGACCAGTGTTACATTTGGAGGACAAAGTGGAAAGCTTACAAGTCTAGGAACACCATCCCAACTGTGAAGTATGTGGACGGCAGCATCATGTTGTGTGGCTGTTTTGCTGCAGGAGGGACTGGTCCACTTCACAGCATAGATGGCATCATGAAGAAAGAACATTATGTAGAAATACTGAAGCAACATCTCAAGGCATCAGCCAAAAAATTAAAACTTTGGCCACAAATGGGTCTTACAAATGGACCATACCCCTAAGCATACTGCCAAATTAATTTAAATGTGCTTCAAGGGCAACAGAGTGAATGTTTTGGATTGGCCATCACAAAGCCCTGATCTCAATCCTAAAGAAAAGTTGAAAAAGCTTGTGCGAGCAAGACTGCAATCTGACTCGGTTACACCAATTCTGTCAGAAGGAATGGGCCAAAATTCCTGCAAACTAATGTGAGAAGCTTGTGGAAGGATACACCAAACACTTGACCAAAGTTATGCAGTTTAAAAGCAAAGCTAAAAAATACCAAGGAAATGTATTTAATAAATTTAACTTTTGAATGTCTAAAAATGTATTAAATAAATAAAAAAAATCTCTCATTATTCTGGCATTTAGCAAATGTAAATCATTTAGGTAATCCTAACGGACCTAAAATAGTAAACGTTTAGTATGATTTACCGTCAGACATTTTTAAAAATGGTTATGTTTCTTTTTTTAGAGTGCAAATAAACTTCTGGTTTCAACTGTATATAGCATATGTTATAATTCCATTATTGTAACCTTCTATATGATCTTAATTTAGGTCACTCACTTGGAACACAGCGGTATAACCTGCCACGCCGCTGTTTGTGTGAGTTTTTTGCGCAGAAGAAATGCTTTTTGTTTCCTCGACCTGCTTATCGAAAATACATGAGAAGGTTAGAGGATCTGTCTGATGAAACGCTGGATTCAAGGTTCCTTCATCAAGCACACACTTTCTGTAGTTACATTTACGATAACGCACAGCCAAAAACTGTCAGAGGACATACAATTACCGGAACAGGTCTGTACCATCTTTAAAGAATACAAGAGTTATTTTGTAAACACGATTAATAGACAAATGACTGACCTATAGAGTTGTGTTTCCTGATAGCTCTGGGGAATCTTGCTGAGATTTACGTCGAGGCCATAAGCAGTGGAAACGTTATTTGTCTAGAAAATGCAGTCGTGTCTCTGGCTAAGATCCAGAATGTTCGTGCAGTTGATCAAGCCCGGCAGATTTACAAGGAAGAGATGCTCAGGATGGCTCAGCCTCCACTGGACCCAGATCAGCTGTCTAGAATCCACACACTGGCAGAGGAGAAGGCCATCAAAGTGTTCATCAACATGTCCTTCAGTGACAAGGACCAGATCTACCAGAAAGAGCTCATGGTACAGTACCTGCTGAAACACCATGGAGAGCCATGGAGAGATAAAATAACAATGAAATGGAACTTAACTGGATTAAGAAATTGGATCTTGATTGAGAAATTGCATAGCATTAAGCTAGGTCTCATACAGATATGTCATATATGGGCACTTATATAGTGTGTGTGTGTGTGTGTGTGTGTGTATAGGCAAGGCAAGTTTATTTATATAGCACATTTCATACAAAGTGGCAATTTAAAGTGCTTTACATAAACAGGAATAAAAAAGAGAAGTTTAGGAACATAACATGAAGACAATAAAAATGATTAAAAACAGATAAAAACTAATTAAAATGAGTTAAAATAGGTTATAAAAGAATGAAAAAGAAAACAAAAAACATAATAGTGCAATCTGTCGGACGTAGCACAGTGCTCATACAGTAAAGGCACAGCTAAACAGATGTGTTTTCAGTCTTGATTTGAATGTGCCTAATGTTGGAGCACATCTGATCATTTCTGGAAGCTGATTCCAGCAGCGAGGAGCATAGTGGTTGAAGGCAGATTCACCCTGCTTTGACTGAACTCTTGGAATTTCTAGTTTATATGATCCTAAAGCTCTGAGTGATCTGTTAGGTTTGTCTTCAGTGAGCATATCTGTAATGTATTGAGGTCCTAGGCCATTTAGTGATTTATAGACCAGTAATAATAGTTTAAAATCTATTCTGAATGTGACTGGGAGCCAGTGTAGTGGCTAAAGGCGGATTCACCCTGCTTTGACTGAACTCTTGGAATTTCTAGTTTATATGATCCTAAAGCTCTGAGTGATCTGTTAGGTGTTTCTTCAGTGAGCATTTCTGTAATGTATTGAGGTCCTTGGCCATTTAGTGATTTATAGACCAGTAATAATAGTTTAAAATCTATTCTGAATGTGACTGGGAGCCAGTGTAGGGACCTGAGGACAGGTGTAATGTGCTCTGATTTCCTGCTTCTGGTCAGAATCCTGGCCACAGCATTCTGGATGAGCTGCAACTGTCTGACTGTCTTTTTGGGAAGGCCAGTGAGGAGGCCGTTACAGTAATCCACCCTGCTGCTGATAAAAGCATGAACAATTTTTATTTAATTTTTATTTTTGAGATTATAGTATGCTGATTTACTAACTGCTTTGACATGACTGTTGAAACTCGGATCTGACTCCAGAGTCACACCAAGATTCTTGACCTTATTTTTTGTTGTTTGACCCTTAAAGCCAAGGTACGCATTCACCTTGAGCACCTCATCTCTGTTCCCAAACGCAATCACTTCAGTCTTCTCTTAGTTTAACTGAAGAAAATTTTGGAACATCCAATTGTTAATTTCATCAATGCATTGGCAGAGGGTGTCAATGGGACTGTAGTCATTAGGCAGTAGGGCTAGGTAGATCTGGGTGATCGACGGTGTCAAATGCAGCACTGAGATCCAACAATACCAGCACTTTTATTTTACCTGAATCTGTATTTAGGCGTAAATCATTGATTATCTTTATAAGAGTGCTCTCTGTACTGTGATGTGCTCTGAAACCAGATTGAAAATTGTCTAAACACCCCCTGAAGTTTAAGAACTTGTTTGCGATAATATATACACACACATATATATATATATATATATATATATATATATATATATATATATATATATATATATATATATATATATATATATATATATATATACACACACACATATACACACACATATATATGTATATGTATATATGTATATATGTACATGTATATGTTCTTAATTTGGAGAATAGTTTGCACATGACATTTTATGTAAGTGAAATCCAAACATGAACTTGTATGTCGTGTAATTCGCATATATTGACATATATCAGATTTCTATATAGGATGCATTTAACATTTAATACATTTACTGTAAAGGAAAGTTCTAAGCTTATTTAAACGTATTTATATTGAGATACTGCCTATGTAGGTTAACTTAAAGTCTGAAACCAATAATCATCGAAGATCCCTCTTTTTGGTGTAGAATCTGCAATGTTATCAGAAAAATGCATTAATGAGTGAACACTTTTAAAAGTTTTAGAAATGTTTCTGTAAAATAATAACAAAAACTCTTTCTCTTTCTTTCTCTCTCTCTCTCTCTCTCTCTCTCTCTCTCTCTCTCTCTCTCTCTCTCTCTCTCTCTCTCTCTCTCTCTTGTTGCTTCTTATAATTTAGGAGAAGATTCATCATGAATATCAGCATATGTGCCTGCAGAATCATCAAGCGTTTCTCATGCAGTGTCGGAAGGTTCTGGAGTATTCGTTTTATCCACTGGAATTGAAGATTTCTGACGGATCATACCTGAGGCCTGGAGGATACAGACAATACAGAGCCTTGCTCAATCAGCTGATCAGTGATTACAGAGCAAGAACAGAGTCACAGATAAAGGTAGAGTTTACACATACATGCTCTGCTTGTGGTTTATTGTGCTAGATCAGCGGTGTTCAAATTCGGTTCTGGAGAGTTTAGCTTCAACCCTAATCAAACACACCTGAACCAGCTAATCAAGCTCTTACTACATATACTAGAAACTTCTCTTGGCAGGTGTGTTGAAGCAAGTTGGAGCTAAAGTCAGCAGGACACCGGCCCTCCAGGTCCTAGTTTGGACAACCCTGTGCTAGATGGTCATAACAGTTATTAGTATTCTTCATCCTGATAAACTGTGATGAAAGCTATGTTTCTTGTTTATATTCTATCTTTCAGTTGTTTCAAATATGTTTGTTCTTGATATTTTTTTTAAATCATAAAATAAGAATTGTTGGGTTAGTGCATTATGCTACAGTATATGTCTGAATTATAGATGTTATATTATGGATGATTTGTTGGGTTAGGGAGATATTTTAAAGATTGCTGGTTGCTAGGACCCACTGACTTCCCTATTAAGAAAAAAAAAAACTGCAGAAGTTAATTATGAGTGCCAGCAACCAACATTTAAAAATAATAATAATAATAAATAAATAAATAAATAATAATAAAATTATATATATATATATATATATATATATATATATATATATATATATATATATATATATATATATATTATATTATATTATATGTATATCTCGATATACAGTTGAAGTCAGAATAATTAAACTCCCTGAATTATTAGCCCCCTATTTATTTTTTCAAAATTTCTGTTTAACTAAGAGATTTTTTAACACATTTTTAAACATTATAGTTTTAATAACGCATTTCTAATAACTGATTTAATTTTATCTTTGTCATGATGACTGAATAATATTTTACTAGAAATCTTTCAAGAAGCTTAAATTGACATTTAAAGGCTTAACTAGGTTAATTAGGTTAACTAGGCAGAATATGGTAATTATGCAAGGTATTGAATAACGATGGTTTGTTCTGTAGACTATCGAAAAAAATATAGCTTAAAGAGGCTAATAATTTTGACCTTAATGTTTTTTTTTCTTAAATTTAAAAACTGCTTTTATTCTAGCCAAAATAAAACAAATAATGCAGCAGTCACACTAGAGTTTTGCATGCGAAATTCTGTTGTACGGCATTGCTAGAAGGGGCAGGATTAAACAAGATGATTAGACATTTTTAAAAGCGAGCAATTGGTCAATATTTACAATTTCTGTACAGAGAGGTCCTGTTTTGGTCCTCCATTGGTCTCATGCAGTCAAGTGATGCGATTTAGCAGGTCAGAGCTCACCAAGTTTGAACTTTGCAATGCAGTTACCTGCAAAACCTGTCGCAGGTGCTTGCGTTTCCAGTCTGATGCATTCGCGTGCATATGAATGGAAGTCTATGAGCCGAAAAGTGCAGTGTGAAGCTTAAGATTTCTCCAGAAGAAAATTTTTTTTATTAGATATGCTCTAAAAAATTTCCTTGCTCTGTTAAACATCATTTGGGAAATATTTAAATAATAAAAGAAAATCAAAGGGGGCTAATTCATTCTGATTTCAACTGTATATATGTAGTAGTCAACAGAAGAAGGAATTTTTAATATGTCTTAAACAACTGAAGGATGACTAAATAATAACAGATTTTATTTTTGGGTGAACTATCTCTTTAAATATTATCCTAGCTCTTAACAGCTTTGTAATGACAGTGAACTCTGCCCACGTTTTAGGAGCTTCAAAAACACACTCATCCATTTTAAAAGTGATCTATATGGCTCTGGTGAGTTAATGCATCAAGCAATAGGTTTTTGTAAGAAACTTGTAAACTTTATAAAGTATTTTCACTAAGTATGACATATAATATTAGTTTAAAATGTTTTAAATATTGGTAACTTAGTTGCAAAACTCGCTTCAGAAGATGCTCATTAATCTACTATAGTTGAATGGGTCACTAATGATAGATGGATGCAGTTTTTTAGAACCAAAAACTCGAACATCTTCCACTATCATTACAAAGCTGACAAGAGCCAAGATATTATTTATTACAGTGAACTATTACTGTAAAAATAATAATAATTGAATGATTTATGTAATTTTTTTACAGCATGAGGAAGCATTGTGGATGTTTTTGCAAGGAAAGGAAGATGTTGGGAATCAGATTCTACAGGCTGATGAATCTCTCAGTGCAGCGGAGCAGGAGAAAGAGGGTACAGTTTAACTCATCTCAACCCTTTTTATAAATAAAGGCCTTCAATGACACTTAAAATTTCTACAACAAAGACACTTCCATGACTTTAATCAGAGCACTGTGTAATACAGATGTGTTACTGCAGTAGCTCTTTCATTAGTAAATACCAGTTTCAATGCATAATATGTGGTAGCGATCTGCATTCCTTTAAAGATACCGTAGGTCGAGCTCTTGGGTCAGAATGAGTGTGCAAACTGAACCGTCTCTCTTTCTGTAAACAGTGCAGATCTTAAAGAATGAAATACTGCAGCAGCATCAGAGAGGCCTGGAGGAGCAGAAACATTTAGAGGAGCAGATCATTCAGCAGATGAAGAGAAACCAGGAGAAAATCAGGAGAGATGATGACCAAGCCCTAAAAGCCAAACACAAGGTAAAAGCAGGACATCGAAAAACGTTCATATTAGCTTTATTTCCATGTTACTGTGCATTTGTACATTTTAAAACTGGGTAATAAACACTAACAACATGCACTTATGTACTATAGGGTTAGGATTAAAGTTTGCTTTAGTGTTGTTGAAAGCAATTTTGCATAATTTACTGTTGTTACTATAGTTAGTGCATGTTACATGTATAAAAAAAGACACTGTCAAATAAAGTATTACTGAAAAGGTTGCATTCAAAGTGATATCCAGATGAAGCCTTGTACAATGCTACAAAATGTTTTGATCTAACCCTTTATAGGACACTTTTTTAACTACTCATCAGAAAAACCCTGGGCCCCTACTAAAAAAACATTTTATCAACACTAAGGAATAGGGGATTAAATAGTCAGTTTCTTTGTTTTGTTGAACACAAAAGAATACATTTGCTTATCATTTTTTAGTCAGTGGGTGTCAGCAACCAGCATTCTTCAAAATGTCTTTTGTGTTCAACAGAAGAAAGAAACTCATAAAAAATTAAAAGGAATAAATAATGAGGTCATTTTCATTTTTGGGTGAACTATCCCCTTAAGCTAAGAGTGAGGCCGGGGTAGACCTCATTGCTCTGGATGATATCAGCATGATTGCTAACTACAGTATGCACACATCGCATTCTTTGCAATTTAAAAAGTAAATATTTACTATTTAATATTTATTTATTATTTTTTCATTCATTTTATAACTAATCTAATGCAGTTTTTTTAGAATCAAAAACAATACAAAGCTGATAAGAGCCAAGATAATATTTATTACAGTAAACTATTACTGTAAAAATAGTAATAATTGAATGAATTGTGTTTTTTTTTAACAGCATGAGGAAGCATCGTGGATGATTTGGAAAGGAAATAAAGATGTTGGGAATAAGATTGTACAGGCTGATGAATCTCTCAGTGCAGTGGAGCAGGAGAAAGAGGGTACAGTTCAACTCATCTCAACTCTTTTTCTATGAATCAAGGCCTTCAGTGAAACACTATTACTTTAGTCAGAGCACTGAGTAATACACATTTACTAAACTCTATATCCTCCTTGTTCTGCCAGAAAGACTAGGGGATACATTATATATTGAATTACTTTTATTTGATCAGTACTATTTGACTTAAAGTATGATTTAACAAAACATAGGATTTCTTTGGCAGAGACCCTGTACTTGAATCAGAAGCTTGTAGTTCCAGCTATGACTAATGAGGACTAAAGCCTGATTTATACTTCTGCGTCAAGTGACCGGCGTAACTCACGGCACAGGCAATGCGCACAGCTGTGCATTTATACTTCTGCGCACTGTCTTTGTCGGTCTGCATTATCACTTCCGAAACGCTAGTTGGCAGTGAGGTGTAAATGTTCCTCTGTGTCGAGTCTCTTCGCTTTTGTTTTGCTTTTCCTGAACACTTCCTGGTTGTACAAGTGACTCAAACTCGCTCATTTTGAGGCAGGAACCGGCGGACGTGCAACAACTTCAACTATGAGGTAAACACAAAACAAAACTTTCCATCTGGAGCTCCTTCACGGGACTCCACACTTGTAAACAATCGCTCGCGCCATTCGCGCAGCTCTTTGTCCCGCCCAGACTCGTCAGTGCTACCAAGCCGACCAATCACAGAGCTTGCGCTACGCGTCGTTGCGACGTGTAGTTAAATTTTTTGAGAGGTGCACGTCAGTGACGCCGACGGCCACGGCGAAGGGCTATGCGTCAGCGCTGTAGCATACGCCGGCGTTTGATGCAGAAGTATAAATCAGCCTTAAGGCAGGGGCGAAACCTACCCATAAAGAATGAAGAACATGTACCCACCACCATCACTCAGAGTATCGGTCAGTAGATCCTAAAGCAAAACAGAAATTGAATATAATTATAATTAGACATGGGATATAACTTGTGCTCTTTAATATTTGCCATTTATAACTGCTATAAATGGAAAACATGATCCATTTAATGACTGCTATAGAGATACGGGCAACAGGCCAGACATGCAAAGGCCTGGGTCATACGCTGGAGAGAGAGGACCTCGGCTGGCTAGACGGAGAGAGAGGGCCGGCTCCGGCAGGCTGCGTGGTTTGGAACAGACCCGGCAGGCATCGCGGTTTAAAATGGCTCAAGCGAGCTACGCAGTTTGTTAAGGCCCCAGTGGGCTAAGATGAGTTTAATCCGGCATACGATTAGTAACAAACTTTTATTGGTCATTTTTGGAGTTGCATGGCTTGGATACTGTATGTGAGTTTATGTTTGAGTAATATGACTTGCTCTGTAATGCAGTAATATATTACGTGATGCCTTTTGCTTAACAACTTGAGCACTATTTAGGTATCCAGCACTAGGTTTGAATTGTTTGCCTTGAGGTTGCAGTAAGGAAGGCTACGTATAAATAAATCATAAAAGTGATGTAACGCTCCTTAAACACAAGCGCAGAATGCGAGAGTACAGTGATAAAACAGCGCTTAACATTGTTTATTTTAAAAAGAAGAGATAAACATCTGTGTCAGTATCTGCAGCCAAATGAATGAACAGCTTATGTATTCTTTCTGTCTCGTGCTATTGGTTGGAACTGATTGTGATGAGTGATGGGACATTAGGTCTTCATGGTAGAACTAGCGCTAAAAGCTACATGGATTTAATGCTATGACCACTTCGGACAGACCTTTAGACTACTCGAGTTGCTATATCTTTTCCTATTTAAAAGCATTGACTTGCTATGGAGAAGAAACTCCCATTCAAAAAACATAAAGAAATGGGGGGTGGGCTCATTTGACTCAAACAATTAGTCTTAGGAACATTCTAAAACTGACATGCCACACCCTACCAACCATTTAGAACACCTTAGCAACTGATATCATAGACTAAATAAAAATAAAGAAATCTTGATGCTGCAGTGTCATAGAGACATCAGGGTTGATTTATATCATTCATATTGGTTAGAAGCTTTGATGTATCTTCACTTTAAGCTATTAATTTACTCCATAGCAGCAAAACAGAATAACCTAGAAACCATTTAACAGCAATTTTTCTACATCAGAACATTGTCTGGGACCTGGGCTTTTTCTCAATACCAAGTACTCAAGGTTCGGACCTGCGTCCTTGGAAGTTCAGACTTGCCAAGTTCACACGTAGAAGAACGAACTACAGAGGACGTAAGGACACAAGTCGGGTACTTCTTCAAATGGAACGGCAGTGTACTTTATAACGTCATATACCTCACCATGGATTCATTGTTTCACTATACATTAACAATAGAAAGATTTAATTATATAAAGCACGACCCTGTAATTAATATTATATTTATTTTATAAATCTACATTTTTGATTTATGAAAAGTAGACCAATCCATATAAATGTGAAGTAAAATGAGTTATTATACACAAACACGTGTCTTTAATTATCAGTTATTAAACTACAATGGTAACGTTAATTATACAAGTATATACACAATAAGAAATAAAGACATACACGATAAGAAATAAAGATTACGTCAAACTATTTGGTAAACAAAGACAAACCTCGTACAACACGGTAACTTAATTAAAGACAATTATAAAATGTAACAAAATAATACTGCCAAAAAAATACACCTGAGAACAAGTTATAGATTTATAAGACCAAAAACTGACCGTTAGATAGTCACAAGATGAATTAAATATCATGTTTTAACTACAATGAAGTTATGAGATCCAGCGGTACATCCGAGATGGAATGGCCGGAGTAAAGCTGCTCTTGGCGGGGTAGGTGATGACGGAGCTCCCATTGGCAGGCTGGGAGTCAGAGTCCGCATAAGCTGAGGAAGATCGTTAAAGACACGCTATCTTTGTGAATAAACTGCTGATTCAAGTTTAAAACAATTATATTCTCACCTAAAAAAACTCTTAAAACTTTATTTTGTGACACAGTAAAGGAGTGTTTTTAAAACCGTGCATGATTTCTCCTCCACCATTAGCATTTGCTGGTTTAGCTGCAATGCATTCTGGGATACCTGTGCTTCACAAGTTCGCACAAGTCACCTCTCGATGCATCCTTGGCCAAAGGGGCAGAGCAAGTATTCATTTGGGATTTTTTTCTGTACTTGGCAAGATGTGAAGTTTGAATTGGAACAGTACTTTGCCGACGGTTGATGATGTTTCACGAGGACACAAGAACGCAAGTACAGACAGGAACGCATATTGAGAAACAGCCCTGGGTTCTGGCTTATTTGACTCGTGCTAGCAAAACGGGACTTCCAGTGATTAGCCAAATTCTAATAACGATTAGCTAAATGCTTATAACGATTAGTTAAGTGAAATAACATGCTAGAGATGCCTAATAACTGTTAGGATTTGATTAAATATGCAAATTACACTTGCTAAATAGCAACCCAGTTTACTTTAGCAACCACCTAGCAATGCCTAGCAACACCTACCTACTGCCATTTACAATCCAAGCGCAGTCACTTTGGCTTCTCAAGTCACCATCAAAGTTTGTCAAAAAACTTCAGCTTCTAGTTATTACGTCGGCTTGAGAAATCCAACATAATTATATCCTACTTAAACGTATTATGTTGGCTTGAGAAAACCATCTGTAACTGGGATTCAAAATGAGAATGGAGATGAGGGTCTTTATGAAACTGAACACAGGTAAACAGTTACAGCAAACAAGACTCAGCATTGTGTGTGTGAATGTGAGCTGTATATTTAGTCTATGTAATCAATCCTCATGATCTATAGCTGTTTGCAAGTAATTGGGGTGATCCGGAACTGGTGTGTGTGATGTGCCTAATGGGATATGTAGTTTCTTAAGTGGCATATGTGTAGTTCTCCAGCAATCTGCAAATGCTAGATCGATGGTGATTGTGACACTGTCATACTGTAATGCTACATAAACTTATTAGTGGGGTTTGACTTCAGGCAAATACACTAGTGTTATTATCCATACTAATAATAATAATAATAATAATAATTATTATTATTATGTTGGCTTGAGAAGACTTTACTTGAGGGAGTGTTTGTGTGCGAATTATCACATTGGGGTGATATATCCCTTTAACACTCTATTAAAGGGATAGTTCACCCCAAAATGAAAATTGTGAGTACATCCACCACTTTTTCCTAACCTGAGTTTCTTTCTTCTGTTGAACAACACAAAGAGACATATATTAAAGAGTGTTGGAAAGATATTGACTAGATTTCTTTGTAACTACTATTGTTATTGGCTGTTTTCCCCAATATTCTTCAGGCTGCCTTATTTTGTTTTCAACAAAAGAAAGAAATTAAAAAAAATAGCTAAAAACAGCTTTTATTTTTGAGTGAACCATCCCTTTAAGTGGTTTAATTGTCTTGTTTTTGACACTAGGAAAGAGTTTAGGTTCACCACCCAGAGCTGAATCATCCACAGGACAACCAGTGAGTATCAGCAATGTCAATATGAAGATTTCTTTCAGTTTTTTTCTTTATTTATTATAACAAGTATTTTGTAAAAATGTCTTTTATTTTAGCAATTAAATTATTTTCTGTGATAATTACAGTATATTTTTTAGAGAAATGTAATAATCAATCTTTTACCTAAAATTCAGCATATTCTTGTCATCTCTTTACCTCAGACCTCAGAAAGTGCAGAAGAGTTCACACCTGAACTCATTCAAACAGTAGATGAGGACAAACACAAAAATACATACAGGTATTGACCACTCACCTACAGTACTTAGTTTTAATTTCCCCTATTAGTTTATTTCACCTATACAGTACCACATGTCTTTGAACTGTGAGGGAGACGAGAGCATCCAGAGGAAATCAATGTAAATAGTGGGAAAACATGCAAACTCTACTTGGAAAGCCCTGCATGCCCCACATTATAACCGCCTATATGTCACATGCTCCATACAAAGAATTGATATAGTGGTTTCCTAGTAACATAAATGAGCAGTGCATGGCTCTTCTTTAAAGTCAATGAAAAGGCAGTGTGGTGTGCCTTGCGTTTTCCAAAGATAAACTTCAGTGTGATGAACCCTTAAAAGAGCCTCGGATATGGTTGTGCTATTTTTTGGGGATATTTTGGGATCTCTTGGGGAGTTCTTATTTTGTCTTTATTGAGATATGACAGAGAAATGTTCTTGTTTCCATGTACAAAAGTTCTTTAAACTACTCAATCTTTAGACATATGGATTTAAGGCCTGTAAGGTATTTCAAAACAAACATAGGTCTTTGAAACTGCCTGAACTAAATTTGAAGTGAAATTTGTTTAGCATTATTTCAACAATTGTACTTTGTGGATGCACAGGGAGAATAATGTGTTCATGCAGTTGAATCGACAGAGATTAGAAGTAATAATGTGTTCAGCTTTTTTTTCTACTGCTATTTCAAATGTGTCTCTCAAGACGGTTCCCGTTCATCTCATTCGTCACGATAACCCCGCACTCAACAAATTTCAGCCCAGCAATGTTTTGGTGCTACTTGAGACCATTTCCTGGAGCAGAGCTGGTTCTTTTGGTGCTCAGTAAAAATAACAGATTTTCAACTAGGCTCTGAACCAGCAATACCAACAGTACCAGCATAACAATATTTCAAACAGGACAAGTGAGTAAAAAAACCTCTGGAGAAACCTAACTCCGCTGGGGTGAACAGTTCACCTTTGGCTAAATGTCTTGGGCAGAGATGCAGTCTGGACTCCAGAGGCTTAAGAATGATAAGCATCTATCATGAACAAGGTGCAAGTACAAGTAAATCATTTAGCTGATTTTTGTTTTTCAAAAAAAGTGTTCAGAGTGACAGACGAGCCTCTGAAACACTTTGCACGAATCAGTCTTGCCTTCTTAACTCATCAATGACCACAACAACAGTCTGCTCTGGATTTCAGGCAGTTCCATGAATATGTGAACCTCTGGATAAGGATGACACATCAACATCTTGCAAGCTCTCATGCCTCTTCTTGTGACGTAGATGTTAACATACTTGTTCTGGTTATGAAGATCATTTTAAGTCATTCTTCAGAAGGTGCTGTTTTTGAGTGTTGAACTGATGGAGACTGCTGCAGCTCACTTCTATTTGCTAAACAGGGCAGATCATCATCAGTCATGAGTGTAAGAGGAAGAGAAAGTTGGTATTTGTATGTTTTGAAAAACTTTATGATTTAAAGGGATTTGTACCAGTGTAGGCAGGTTGTTTACACACTCACTGTGGACACACATCGGTTCAAACACCTTATAAAAGGGAATTGCATAACTGATGCAGTTTAATAAAGAAAATATATATATATATTAATGTTCTGTTTTTCAGATTTGTGTCTCCTCATGCTGGTCAGTTTCAGTGCAGTTTGACCAGTCTTGTGTTTGTGATGGATGGTGAAGGAGAGGTGCTGTATAGAGTCGTCTCATGGGATCCTCGTCTGTTAGATGGTTTGGGTCAAATTCAGCCCGTGGGACCCTTATATGACATTGACTGTTTTAATGGCTCAATCTCAAGACTGCACCTTCCTCACTGTGAAATATTTTCTGGTAGGTTTCTTTCAACATATTGAATATAAAATGTGACTATTCAACTACCATCCGCAGTGTGATTATTGTGGATGCAGATATTGCAATTTTGATGATTGGATGATTTGACAAAGGGAACCACAGACTTTTCTCTCCCCAGACAATTTCTCCAGCTCTTCCGGGGGGATCCAGAGGCCTTCCCATGCAAGCTGAGAGACATAGTTCCTCCAGTGTGTCATGGGTCTTCCCAAAGGCCTCCTCCTGGTGGGACATGAAGGCATCTGAAACAGATGCCCGAGCCACCTCAGCTGGCTTTTCTCAATATGGAGAAGCAGCGGCTCTACTCCCAGGTTTCTCCCAGGTGACAGACCTCATCACCGTCACTGACTTTCCTCCAACCTGGTGATTGTAACCACCTTTTTTTCCGGTGGAGCCTTCGGCAATAGGCTCTGCCTAGAAATTCTGTGCATAAACATAATAAACAGAATTAGTGAAAAAGGGCAACTCTGGAGGAGTTAAACATACAGTGGAGTCAAGTCTGTCTTATTGCCAACAATGCCAGTGTGCCGGCAGCTAGCTCTCTGCAACTCTCACATGGTCGCCCACTGAAGCTAAGCAGGGCTGCGCCTGGTCAGTACCTGGATGGGAGACCACATGGGAAAGCTAGGTTGCTGCCTGAAGTGGTGTTAGTGAGGCCAGCAGGGGGTGCTCAACCTGTGGTCTGTGTGGGTCCTAATGCCCCAGTATAGTGATGGGGACTATATACTGCTCAGTAAGCGCCGTCTTTCGGATAAGACGTTAAACCGAGGTCCCGACTCTCTGTGGTCTTTACAAATCCCAGGATGTCCTTCGAAAAAGAGTAGGGGTTTAACCCCGGCATCCTGGCCAAATCTGCCCTCTGGCCTCAGTCCATCATGGCCTCCTAACCTTCCCCATATCATTATTGGCGTATCATCACTCTGTCTCCTCTCAACCAATCAGCTGGTGTGTGGTGTGCGGTCTGGCGCAAAATGGCTGCCGTCGTGTCATCCAGGTGGATGCTGCACACTGGTGGTGGATGAGGAGATTCCCCCCATTGTGTAAAGCGCTTTGAGTGCCCAGAAAAATGATATATAAAATGTAAGGAATTATTATTATTATTATTATTATTATTAGAACTGCTTTCCCCCTTCTGAGGCACCGGACAGTTTGAGGCTGACCGGTAGTCTTTATCCATGGTCTCTCTGAACTCTTCACGCTTAGCCTGTTGGTACCCGTTAGCTGCCTAAGGAGTCCTACAAACCAACCAAGCCTAGAAGGATTCCTCCTTCAACTTGACGTCTATCACCGGGTTCGTGGATTGCCGCCAGCACAGGAACCACAGGGGTTAAAGCCACAGCTCCTTACAGCTGCATCAACAATGGAGCTTGAGAACCTGGACCACTCTGTTTCAATGTCTCCAGACTCCTCCAGGATCTGTTCAAAGCTCTTACAGAGATGAGTTAAAAATCCCTCTGACTTGTGGTTCAGCCAGATGTTCCAAAAAGACCCGAACAGTATGTTTGGACACTAGGCTGGCTACCCTCCCATTCACATGGCAGCTTAGTTGGGGAGCTATAAGCAAGCACACACCAGCCTTGCACTATGGGCAGCTCCAGAGTAGAATAAAGACCAGCCCTTCTAAAGAAATTGAGTTCAAGAGCCCAAGCTGTGTGTAAGGGTGCTTTCACACCTGCCTTATTTAGTTTGATTGAATAGCACTAGAGTTTGTTTTCCCTTTTGGTGTGGTTCGTTTGGGCAGGTGAGAATGCAGCAATCGTACTCGAGTGCGCACCAAAAGCGGACCAAATAAGCGTACCGAGACCTGCTTGAAGAGATGGTCTCGGTATGCTTTCAAACTAACCCTGTAGCGGTTCGTTTGTGGTAAGAATATAATCCGTACCAAAACAGGTCCAACCGCAAAAAGTATTTCGCAAGATAACCATGTCGCAGTTTAGCTAAATTAATTCACTCCTCCTCCTGAGGGGACGAGTGATGTATTAAAACCCTGTTTTCCACCCACGGCTGCGCTTCATTCTAGAAATGTGTGGTTTGTCTAAAGCAGGGATACAATCAGTCAGCGCAGTCGTCCCTTCATAGTAAAAAGCGACATTTTGTGTCTGCCGGTTTTGTTTTCCTGCGGGAGTTCATTGGCATTTTCCTGCACGTTAATTCTGACCAATCAATAAGCAGTTTAGAAAATATGTTCTACAACATCTGGCCAATAAGAGATGTGGATTTTGTCAGATGAGTGCATTTTGGTTAATTTTAACTGGTTTGGACCAAAGCAAGCAGTGTGGTGTGAAAACGACCCAAAGACGGCAGAAGATGCAACAATGTATCATTTATTACCCTTGGTGCGGACCAAATGAAGTGAACTACAGATGTGAAAGCACCCTAAACCTCCTGCACAAGTTCCTTCCTTCAGTGAGATTCTGTGCCTAATGATGGGTTTTTCATGGACCTGACCTTTGACCACCAACTGTTACACAATGCACTGGTCTCCTATGGCTCCCCCTGCAGGAGGATGGTCCCACATCACTTCTTCAGGGTGAGCTTGGCCAGGTTTTATGAAACAAACCCAACCCAAGGCCTGAGTTTTAGTACTCATGAGAGGTTTTAACTGGTACTTATAAGGGGGTAACCACATTTAGTCTGACCTGTCACCTAAGACTTTTTTGCCTTCGTAGACACTACCAGGGGCTTTAACCCCTGACAACATAGCTCTTAGGACCACTCAGGCACTCAAACCCCTCCGCCATGATAAGGTGGCAGTTCATGGAGTTGTAGCCCTAACTGTATAACTGTATTGCCTGTTATATAGTAGTCCTAACTGCATAGCAAAGAAGCTACACATTTAATTTAACACACAACAAAATACTTTATTGTTTTTGCAGAGGGCGACAACATGGATGGTTTGGCTGTAGCACATTTCACTGCTGGGAATATTGAAATAATTCAGCCAATTAAAGTGACAGAAACTCATGTGATGATAGACATCAGAGATCTCTCTCTATTTGGACTCCTCTGGATGAAGATATTTAGTCCCCCCATTAGTGGACAAGTTTTGCTTTTCCTTCGAACACTACCTGTTGAAGAGAGAGAGAAAATACTGAATGTCCACTTGCTTCCTGGGAATATTCCTGTACCAGAGGTACCGTATTTTCTGTTTTGAGTATTATAAAAAAAATGGAAAGTTCAAGCACATTTATATATAAATGTCTGCTTTTGCATATTGGCATTATTACAATTTATTATTATTATTATTATTATTATTATTATTATAGTGCTTTCTGTGGTGTAATTAATTTAGTTAAAAGTTTTAAAACGGTTTACATTGTTGGTGTATTACTGTGTGATAACTACAGAAAAGGGCATTCAATTAATCTTTTTTTTTTTGTTTTTTTCTTGATTCCTCAAGGTCCAGCTCTGCCACCGGGATAAAAAATACATTGAGACAACTTCAAAATGTCAGTTGTTTTTTGAGCGAGAATACAGTCTGTGTTGCCAGCCAGAGAACTTCCAAGTGCAACCAACGGTAACGTATGTTTAACATATAAGCATTAATATTTTAAATGAAATGAATTTCGTTACATTAATAAGGAAAAGTGGTATGACAAATATGGGCCGGAAAAGTGAATAAAAAATATATGATATGATAAATATAAGAAAATATGATAAATATCATACATATATATATATATATATATATATATACATATATACATACAGGAGTCGGACAAAACATAGTTTTACAAAACATAGCAAAACAAAGTTGAGGATCCATGTACAGTACTTTATTACAGCAAACTGTAACATACAGGGAAATCCAGAAGCGCAATCTGATAACAGGCAAATAGTCGATACAGGCAGCAGGCAGGATAAACAATAAAACAAGGTGAGGGTGGCAGAATCGTGACAGTTGGAGGTTTCATGGCTAAATTTCACCAACCTCGTCTTCATTGATTGCACATTCCACCAGAAAGAGTAGTGTGATGGTTTAATTAGCAGAGTAATAACATAGTTTTGCTCAAAATATTGCATTGCACATAACATTATGAGTGACCTATCAGAGTTCAAAAGACAGCAAACTGTTGGTGTGTGTCTCGCTGACTAAGACAGTAATTCTTTGTGATGTATTAAGGCAAAACACAGTATCTATGATTATGTCAACACAACACCAAAAAGGACAAACCACATCCAACAGGAGTAAATTGTGGATGCAAGAGGAAACTGTCTGCAAGGGATGTCCAGTTGCTAACCCATATTGTATCCAAAAGACATTTGCTCTATACAAAAACACAGTTGCTCTACTAACTGCTGAATTAAATGTGCACCTCAACTTTCCTGTTTGCACCCAAACTGTTTGTTGGATCAACATTCATGGCTGCTAAAGCCAAACCTTTTGTCACTCATGCCAATGCCAAATGTCAGTTTTAGTGGTGTCAGCAACAAAAATCTTGGGCTGTGGACAATGTGAAAAATATAGTCTTCTCTGATGAGTTCGCCTTTACTGTCTTTCTCACGTCTGGGAAAGTTACGTTGTGTAGAAGACCCAAAGAAGCGTACAGTACCACCCAGATTCTTGCATGGCCAAAATGAAGCAAGGGGGTGGATCAGTGATGGTTTTGGCTGCAATATTATGGCATTCCCCAGACCCAATACATGTGCTAGATGGGCAGGTCACTGCCATAGTCTACCAAGCCATTCTGGAGGACCATGTGCACCCAGTGGTTCAAATGTTGTATCCTGTAGGTTGTGCCTTGTTACAACATGACAATGCACTAATACACATGGCAAGACAGGTGACTGAGTAGTTTGATGAACATGAAAGTGTAGTTGACATCACCCATGGCCTGTTGTAAATATTATTGAGCCCATATTTTGGAGGAGCGAATCAGGAAAGGTTTTCCTCCACCTACATCATGTAGGTGGCTACTATTCTGCAAGAAGAAGACAAGGCAACTGTGCAGGACTTATATCTTTTATTTTATAGATGAATTGATGCTGTATTGGCCGCAAAAAGAGACCCTACACCAGGGGTGGCCAACACTGTTCCTGGAGAGCCACCTTCCTGCAGATTTCAGTTGCTACCCATATCAAACACACCTGAACCAATTAATTAGAACCTGAGCACCACGTGATAATTACAGGCAGGTGTGTTTGATATAGGTTGCAACTGAAATCTGTCGGAAGGTGGCTCTCCAGGAACAGGGTTGGCCACCCCTGCCCTACACCATATTAATCAATCATTGTGGTCTAAAACCAGGCATTTCAGTTTTATTGTCCAACCCCTGTGTATATACTTATAACGTTCTTTCATTTTTAGGTGTTATTGTATGAATATTCAAGAAAATGAGTAGTGTTAACATATTTCCTCTGTAATATTGTTCCTTTTCACTCAACTGCTGTTCAGCAGGGATATATGACTTAACAATAAAATCCTCTATTTTTGTTGTTGGTTAAGGTACCAAGTAATAGGGCATGTTTATATACTGAACATGTCCAATAATTTTTTGTTAGAAACTAAATTTACACCTAAAAGTGTGGAAAATAACACGCCAAAACTTTTGTAAAACTGTTTCATCATAAGGCCTTCAAATGTAGCTCATTAACTTAGAATTCAAAGATTCTTCCTTATTCTCATGTTGCCTCCATTGGTGTTTTCCAGAGTGAGATTTTTGACCATAGTAATTTTGGTCCAAACTATCATCCTACGTTTGAAGTGTTTCTGGGTGTTCACGTTAGGGAGGTCGGACTGGCTATCTTAGACAAAGCTGAAAATGGGAGAGAAGTGTGGAGCAGACAGCGAATATTACTCACAGGTAAAGAAATTTGGTTGTACTAAGTTTGTACTAAGTCTGTACTCTGTTCTGGTAGTGTGTCTTATAGATTTACTCAATTATACAACAATTAAGCTATTTTCTTTTTTTAAAAACGTTACACAAGCTATCAATATGATGTTTATATTTGTAGTATTCTGATGAATGTAAAATGTCACAGATTTCTCTGTGATCTAATTTTAAATTTTTATTATTAATAGCACCAAGTCAAGGAGTAGAAGACCACAGATTGACCCCAGGTCTGATTTTAATGCAAAATATTTCAATATTATATCAAATTAATATTTATTCTTGTCATTGTTATTCTTGGACATGCTCGACACATTTTTAAAGAGTAACTTCAATATTTTGTTTTAATCAGGAAGTGAATTTGTGGATGCCCTCAGAGGTGATCTTATTCAAAAAGTTTCATCAGTGATGGCGATTGCTGACAGCCTGATGAGCGAACGCATGATTACAGATGAACTATACAACGAAGTTCATAATGCCGATACAAATCAGAGGAAAATGAGACTCTTGTTTAGGGCTCTGGACTCTGGAGGAGCTTCTGTGAAAGCAGAGTTTTACCGTCTGCTGATGGAGAATGAACCTCGTCTAGTACATGAACTGGAGTCTAGACACAGCGAATCCAGCGGTCCTCAGTAATGCTGAGAGTGAGGCATAAACTGCAGCTTTTGGGTAATTATACTGGACTGTGTGTAGCAAGAGTTTTCAGAAGCTCTTTAGTTAATAAAGTAACTGGTATCAACTCCACAAGTGAAAGTGTAAAACTGTTCATGTTCTCATGCATGATTTGAAAAAAAAAAATGAACCAAAGAGCACCAAACCCTCTGAACAGTCCCCCAAAATTAAATGTGAAATCAGGCTTCATGTGTTTTAGCATGTTATCATTTTATTTTACATTTTTTAAATCCATAAAATAATGTTTAAACCATTAAGCTTTTCATTAATTTTCCTTCAGTTTAATTCCTTTATTCATCAGGGGTCACCACAGCGGAATGAACCGCAAACTCATCTAGCATAGCATATGCTTTACACAACGGATGCCCTTCCAGCTGCAACCCAGTGCTAGGAAACATCCATACACTCTTTCTCTCTCTCACACACACACACTCACACACACACTATGGCCAATTTAGTTTATGTATTTCACCTGTAACGCATGTCTTTAGACTGTGGGGAAAACTGCAGCACCCGGAGGAAACTAGTTCATATTTTTGTTTTGTATTTGACATTTGTTTTATATGAACACAGCACACAAGCTCAAAAAAAGTTCATAAATGTAATGTGAAGGACCGTTTTCATTCTTTTTAAACAAGAGCATAATGAAGTCACACTGAAACTAGCTCTCACATTTACACACTATAATGATGATTTGTAGGCAGAGAGCATGACAACATGCAGTATCTTAGCTGTTGTCATTTATGTTGAGTAAGTGTTTAAGTTTAAAATATTGTCTTTGTTTTAGCATTTTAATATCCATAAATGTTATCCTCTATTTTCTATAGTTGTGTTTAGGCCACAGCGGTTATACACCCTTTATGCTGCACAATTTTGGAAACATATTGGCTCATTTATTAGTTATACTATAAAGCAAGATGTTTCTGTTGCTTTTAAAGATGTTATTTGTGGTTAGTATGAATCTGCCTCTACTAAAAGAAATGGTTGTTTTGTTATAAATTACATTTATTTATTTGTAAATTCCAAATCCACAAAGCAAATTTACTAATACCAAACCATATGTTCCTGTTTTTCTGCAAGAAATTAGTCATTTAAATGTAATTTTAAAAATAAGAAAGCAAACATAACTATTTTATTTTTTAATGACTTTATATACTGTAATTGATTCTTAAACATCTTACCCTCAAGTTTATATCATGTTCTTTGTCGTTTATTTTTTCTTTCTCTCTCTCTCTCTCGTAGGCGATCTTCTTTCATTGACAATGTAATTCACATTCTGTATTTTATACTAATATTGTTACAATCATGTCAACTGTTTTTTGCAAATAAGAAAGGTGTTGGCATTAAAAAGCGTTGCAGCTCAGATTGCAACTACACGGAGTCTGCATTTAGACTCTTCTCAAATATCTTTTACATTATCAAATGTTATTCTTTAATTCACTACTTGTATGTCCTAATAGGTGAATTTTGTATAAAAAGGGAGAACCGATTGAACGGAATGAATGAAAGGAATTATACAATAATGTAATTCCTTAAAATAATCAATTATGAATGCAAACTTTTTAAACTCGCTGCTACGCCCAGGTTTTATGCACAGGCAAGAGTTTCAGCTACTTTCTGCTGTTAGGCTGTCGCCCTCAATCTTTCGCATTGTACATCCTTCCTGGTTCTTGCTACAAAGCTACAGTAATTACGTAAGACCGCCTTTCAAGAACAAATCTATTGACGATAGCGCGTGTGTTCTAGGCAGATTTTCACGCGAAGTTCCTGGTAATGAGCATGCCGTGCTGAAATTGAGATCCATAGATGGAGTCTTCGCAAAGTGACGGTAAGTTTAGAAGATGTACGTTAATAAACGCGCTGTAAGAAAATGTAGGTAATTCCTTTACAACCCACAAAGTACCGCGTCACTCGAGTGAACGGTGTACTTTTCTTTAGGCTACATTACGCTATAATAGTATAAAGAACGTACGTGTAGGTATAAGGGAACAAATTGTAATGCTTGGGTAATAATGAGGTAACAAGATCGCTGAAGAATGCATATTGAGAAACAGCCCTGGGCTCCCCTGATAAATGATTTATGAAATGTTGGGCAATCTCCAAAAATACTGGCAGTGGCAACGTGTTATTTAGACGTGTCGTAGAGTTTCAGCTTTGTGTGATGTAATCGAGAATTATGTATAATCAAAAAAGCAAAATGATTCTTGCATGATGGCGATTTGCACCTTACTTAAAAAAGTTAACAAATGCTATTCTTGTCAAGAACATCAATGTGTATGTGGGCGCATGCAACTGCGGTCAAGCCAGCCGCGGTTCGGAAAAACACAGTCAAGCCAGCCGCGCTTTATATTTTGGTGCGCGCGTATTATTATCATTACGGTAATGTCAGCAGCCACACAGAGAGCGCTCCACAGAGCACACATTTCGCCCAGAACAGAGAGATAACAACGAAATATAAGTTTATCCCCCTTTCCTCCCACGTATGCTTTATTAAACAATTTATTAGCTTTTTTTGACTGTTGTTATTTTAAGAAATTGGTTTCTGTGCTTACCTTTAATTTCCTCAAGTCTATCTTTTTGCTTCAAATGATTTTATAGCAATCAAACGGTCAGAATAAATATACGATTTCTAAATACCCAGAAAGCGTTTTTATTTCTCCTAGCCAACTACAGTACATTGCTAATAAGGTTGAATGCAATTTTATACAACGTGCCTAACCTCAGAAAGTGAAAATAATCATGAAGTAGTCCAACATAGCATTGTTTAAGTTACAAATATATGTTGGTTTTATTTAAAGGGGATTTAAAAATATATGCTTCTTTCAGTATATGGGATATGGGGCATTACTACACTTTAGATGAATGTAAAGACCTTATTATTTGTAGAATAGAATAGAACAACAAGATCGATGCAGGAAGTCAAATACTAAGCATACATCATATGAAGCCTGTTTTACTGCAGCATTTTGGAGAAATGTACCATTAACACACTTTAAAGTGCTATAAAGAAATAAGTAGAAAAAAAAACAAAGTTTGGTTCTGATACAGGATGTACATGCATACCTCATGTAAAAGACCTCATTTAAGTTAACAGAAGAAAACTATGGACAGGACATGCAATATTTTATGCATACCTCATAATAACTTACTGCAGCATTTTGGAGAAATGGGCTATTAATGAGCTAAAAAGTCTTTAAAGTGTTATAAATACATTGTTTGGAATAAGTTAAATAAAAGAGTGATCAGGTCTGATACTACATGTCCCATGCTATATGCATATATACAACACATGAATCCTTTTTACTGCAGCAATTTGGAAAAAAAAATGCTCATTTAAAAGATGTAGAAAAAAAAAACAATAGTCAGGTCTTATACAGGACATCCCATACTAAACCTCATTTAAAGACTTGTTACTGCAGCGTCTTGGAGAAATTGGGCATTAACATTACTCAAAGTGTTATGAAGACCCAATTTTCAATAAATAGACAAAAAACAATGATCAGTTCCTGTACAGAACATCACATACAATATGCATACTACATATAAACACTTCTTACTCCAGCAATCTGGAGAAGTGGGACATTAACATAATATAAAGTGTTGTAAAGACCCCATTTCGATTAAATAGAAAGAAACAATGGTCAATTCTTATTCAGGACATCCCATACTATATGTGTACTTCACATGAAATCTTTTTTACTGCAGCGTTTTAGAGAAACTAGGTATTAACCTATTATAAAGTGATATAAATACCCCATTTCTAATAAGTAGAAAAAAACAATGGACAGTTCTTATACAGGACATACCATACTATATATGTACTTCACATGAAGCGTTTTTACTGCAGCATTTAAAAAAAACGGGGTATTAACATAATATAAAATACTATAAAGACCACATTTTAAATAGGTAGAAAAAATCTATGGTCAGTTCTTATACAGGACATCCATACTATATCTGTACTTCACATAAAACTTTTTTACTGCAGCATTTTGGAGAAATGGGGTATTAAAATAATATAAAGTGCTATAAAGACCTCATTTCAAATAAGTAGACAAAAACAATGGTCAGTTCTAGTACAGGACATCCCATACTATGTGTGTACATTACATGAAACCTTCTTACTGCACTGTTTTGGAGAAATGAGGTATTAACACAATAAAGTAATATAAAAACCCCACTTCAAATAAGTAGAAAAAAACAATGGTCGGTTCTTATACAGGACATCCCATACTATATATGTACTTCACATGAAACCTTTTTACTGCAGCATTTTAAAGAAACGGGTTGTTAACATAGAAAAAAAGTACTATAAAGTCCCCCTTTCAAATAAGTAGAGAAAAACAATGGTCAGATCTTATACACGACACCCTTATCTCTGTGTGTACTTCACATGAAAGCTTTTTACTGCAGCATTTTAAAGACACGGGGGAATTAACATAGTATAAAGTAATATAAGGACCCCATTTTAAATAAGTAGAAATAAACAATGGTCAGTTCTTATACAGGACATCCCGTACTATATGTGTACTTCATATGAAACCTTTTTACTGCAGCATTTTGGAGAAAGGGGGTATTAACATAATATAAAGTGCTATAAAGACCCCATTTCAAATAAGTAGAAAAAGACAATGGTCAGTTCTTATACATGACATACCCTACTATATATGTACTTCACATGAAACCTTTTTACTGCAGCATTTTGGAGAAACGGGGTATTAAGCCAATATAAAGTGCTATAAAGACCCTATTTTAAATAAGTAGAAAAAAACAATGGTCAGTTCTTATACAGGACATACCATGCTATATGTGTACTTCACATGAAACCTTTTTACTGCAGCATTTTGAAGAAAGGGGGTATTAACGTAAAATAAAGTGCTATAAAGACCCCATTTCAAATAAGTAGAAAAAAACAATGGTCAGTTCTTATACAGGACATCCCATACTATATGTGCACTTCACATGAAACATTTTTACTGCAGCATTTTGGAGAAAGGGGGTATTAACATAAAATAAAGTGCTATAAAGACCCCATTTCAAATAAGTAGAAAAAAACAATGGTCAGTTCTTATACAGGACATCCCATACTATATGTGCACTTCACATGAAACAGTTTTACTGCAGCGTTTTTGGGAAACAGGGTATTAACAAATGATAAAGTGCTATAATGAGCACATTTCCAATAAGTAGAAAAAAACAATGGTCAGTTCTTACATAGGACATCCCATACTATGTACTTGACATGAAACTTTCTTACTGCACTGTTTTGGAGAAATGGGGTATTAACATAATATAAAGTACTATAAAGACCCCATTTCTAATAAGTAGAAAGAAACAATGGTCAGTTCTTATTCAGGACATCCCATACTTTATGTGTACTTCACATAAAAAAACTTTTTACTGCACTGTTTTGGAGAATTGGGGTAACAACCTAATATAAAGTGCTATAAAGACCGCATTTAATATAAGTAGAAAAAAAGAATAGTCAGTTCTTATACAGGACATACCATACTATATGTGTACTTCACATGAAACCTTTTTACTGCAGCATTTTGGAGAAAGGGGGTATTAATATAATATAAAGTCCTATAAAGACCCCATTTCAAATAAGTAGAAAAAGACAATGGTCAGTTCTTATACAGGACATCCCATACTATATGTGCACTTCACATGAAACATTTTTACTGCAGCGTTTTTGGGAAACAGGGTATTAACATATGATAAAGTGCTATAAAGAGCCCATTTCCAATAAGTAGAAAAAAACAATGGTCAGTTCTTACATAGGACATCCCATACTATGTACTTGACATGAAAATTTCTTACTGCACTGTTTTGGAGAAATGGGGTATTAACATAATATAAAGTACTATAAAGACCCCATTTCCAATAAGTAGAAAGAAACAATGGTCAGTTCTTATTCAGGACATCCCATACTTTATGTGTACTTCACATAAAAACTTTTTACTGCACTGTTTTGGAGAATTGGGGTAATAACCTAATATAAAGTGCTATAAAGACCCCATTTCAAATAAGTAGAAAAAGACAATGGTCAGTTCTTATAAAGGACATCCCATACTATATCTGTACTTCACATGAAACCTATTTACTGCAGCGTTTTGGAGAAAGGGGGTTTTAACATAATATAAAGTGCTATAAAGACCGCATTTCAAATAAGTAGAAAAAAACAATGGT